CAACTTGAGTGAAGACCAGAGTACGAAAACACACAGCAGGTAAGCAACTCACTTTAGGTGACTGTTCCTCACGAGCATTCTGATCCTGCAACATATGAACAGCTAGGGAGATCGTCTCCTTAATAAATCGGACAGGTACTATCACAATTTCCAGAGCACAGCATGATAACAAAGTCAAAAGAAACACAACGAAGGTAGGTTACCAACACCACAATATAACAATTATACTAACAACTGAATTAAATTTATTCTGACGACGGGCAGCCCTGATGTGCTCGTTCATCCTCAACGAGCGACCACTTGTAATAGAGGTGTTATGTCATGTGACACCGATCCGTCCAATCACAAACAGGACGAGTCAGCAGATCGATATCGTGTGTTTACTTTCCTTATCTTTATTTGACCCTCTGTTCACATTGTTATCTCTACCACATCTCGGCTCGGCAAGGTCCGCGTGCAATATCTGCACCGCGGTAAACACGCCATGATTACGTCATGAACTTGAAATAGTGTGATTGTTGTACTTATATAACCGTGCCCATTGCCCACGTACAATACAAACTGTTGGGGGAGGGGGGGGGGTTTAACCCATATAATACCAACAACTCTAAACTTTCGAATTTTTTGATGAAATTTTGTTTCCGAAGCACTGAGGTACCAACTCCGACGGTGCAATAATTATTTTGAAAAAATTCATATTTTTTATAGCTTTTTCGACCCGTACTTTTAAAAAGTTCATTGTTGGAGCTTGCGTTTTTGGAACATTGCATCGTACTTTTAAAAGTACATCATATATTTGAATGATGTACTTTTAAAAGCACGGGTTTAATAAATAATGTACTTTTAAAAGTATGGGTTTAATGAATAGTGTACTTCTGTAGGTACGATAGGTAATTAAACAGAAACTCAGGGTCAGATAATAAAACTAAAAGCCCTTGTCAGAATGGCTGAATAAAATTTAAACAATACCATACAAAATTTAAGTGGTACATTAAACAAATCATGATAGTGGGAACAGCTATACTTATAAACTACTATCATAATTCCATTTACCAATTTACTAGAATTTTACAAAAATTGTCAGGTTTTGTGCTTATCACTCTAACTGATGATAAGGCTTAAAATAAAGCACACAAAGTGCAACGTCACATACTTCGCACTTAGCCAGACGCTTTTCACAACTTAAAGAATACCTAAAATGGTGAGAATGAGAAGAGAGTAGCAGAAGCTGAGAGAGTTCTAGAGGAGCATAAGAGAGTAGCAGAGGTGGAGAGAGTTCTAGAGGAGCAGAAGAGAGTAGCAGAAGCTAAGCGTATTCTAGAGGAACAGAAGAGAGTAGCAGAAGCTGAGCGTATTCTAGAGGAACAGAAGAGAGTAGCAGAGGCTGAGACAATTCTAGAGGAACAGAAGAGAGTAGCAGAGGCTGAAACAATTCTAGAGGAGCAGAACAACTCAGCTGAGGAAATGCATAGACTACAAGGAAAGGAATCTTATGTTGGAACAGCAGATTGCTGATGGCACACAATCATGTCAGTATTTAATAATAAACATACAGTAGCAGCCAGCAGAAAAGTCAGCATCGCCCGCATCCACGTGGAACGCTCAATTGGCTATCTGAAGCGGTACAAGATTTAGGGAAACAAAGTTGTGGCGAAGATGTTGCCTTATCTGAGCGACATCGCATTCGTGTGTGCCCAACTTGTTAATTTGAACCCTGTTTTTTTGAGGGAAGTGGACAGTGATTTTTTTTAAATTACCAGGTCTGCTTAAATAACTAAAAAATTATGTTAATATTCTGTTCATGACTGGACGATAAGTTCCTACAATCCCCCCCCCCCCCCCCAACAGTTTGTATTGTACGTGGGCAATGGGCACGGTTATATAAGTACAACAATCACACTATTTCAAGTTCATGACGTAATCATGGCGTGTTTACCGCGGTGCAGATATTGCACGTGGACCTTGCCGAGCTGAGATGTGGTAGAGATAACAATGTGAACAGAGGGTCAAATAAAGATAAGGAAAGTAAACCCACGATATCGATCTGCTGACTCGTCCTGTTTGTGATTGGACGGATCGGTGTCACATGACATAACACCTCTATTACAAGTGGTCGCTCGTTGAGGATGAACGAGCACATCAGGGCTGCCCGTCGTCAGAATAAATTTAATTCAGTTGTTAGTATAATTGTTATATTGTATTGTGGTGTTGGTAACCTACCTTCGTTGTGTTTCTTTTGACTTTGTTATGCTCTGGAAATTGTGAAAATTACGCTCTGGAAATTGTGATAGTACCTGCTCTGGAAATTGCGATAGTACCTGTTCGATTTGTTAAGGATACGATCTCCCTGTTCATATGTTTGTTATATATGGTATTAATTTATTATGTAACTTATTTATGTATATTATTCCTTAGTCTCGTATGACCATAGTTGGTACTACAATAAGTGGGTTTCACTTCTAAGTTACCGTATACTAAATTGTTACAGGATCAGAATGTTCGTGAGGAACAGTCACCAAAAGTGAGTTGCTTACCTGCTGTGTGTTTTCGTACTCTGGTCTTCACTCAAGTTGCAAAGCTGCAATAAACGTATCGCAAAGAACATTTATATCTGAAAATTGTGTTAGTACCAGTTAGATCAGTTAAGGTGAGGATTGCCTCGATCTGTCGGGTTCAGCTTAACTGCCTAGGTCATGAGTAGAACCGAAGGATCAAAACATATGTTGCTTGTTGCTCGTATCAACTATAAAACATCAATTTTGAGGGATAAGGAAGTGTTTATAGGTTCTGAAGCCTAGCTAAATCGATTTTTCGTGCAATTTTAGGTCAGAAACAGTCATCAAAATGAGTTAATAAGAAGGTCGATTTCTCGGTTATTTTTGAGCTTTCGTTCAGAAAATAATTCGGGGCCTTCAAAGGGGGGTAACAAGAAAGCGTTACAAGTGTTACAAGCCTTCTATAATACAAAATGTGTATCATCTCTTCAACCCGCTGAACATGTGCTTACCCTAAAAATGTAAACAAATGTGTTTCACCTCCTCAACCCGCTGAACATGTGCTTACTATTAAAGTAAACAAATGTGTTTCACCTCCCCACCAGTATCCACATCTATAGATGGCACTTTTTAAATATCTTTTCGATCCACCTATTGACCAAGATTTAATGATTTTTACTTCTCTGGTAGTTCTGTTGTTGAACATAATCCGTATAAATTAACAAATGGTGAGATCACCCAATCCTATAGAATTAGAACAACATAAAAGGAGATGAAGTGAGAATTATTTTTAAATAAGGAACACTGGCCCATTTGATCAACCTTATGTGCTAGCTCAAAGCTGGAATTGGAGTTACATACATACATACATACGTGATTTGGGTTCCACAGCTTTGTAGTCGATCGGAACAATCTTACCTAAATCCCAACTCCAACCCTAACCCTAGCCATAACCCCGAAGCTAAACACAACCCTAACCACAACCCTAATAACCTTAACCCAAGTTAAGCCTTAAATTTGGATTTAGGATTGGTATGTTTATGGTCCTCTATGAATCTTCATTTCTGAAGTGTAAGAGAAGTGTATGAGATTTGTTGCTAGTGATAAACTTTAGGTACCCTAGTGTGTGTCACTGTCTCTGCAGTGGAGCGACTTCTTTGTTGGGATCAACGCCGGCTGTTGATTTTAATTTAAAACTCTGCTGTGTCTTTGATCTGGCCCATAGTGCTTCTTAGTGTACAAAGGGCTTGCATCTTGATTTCGTATGTACTAGATGAAAGGAATTCGGTCGGAAGAATTTGAATAATAATGGTTCATTACAGCCTATCTAGTATAGGGCTCACTGTGTTCACTGTTCATGCTCAAGTATTTTGAACAATCGGCGGAGCGCACCCAAGCAAATAACTTAATCTGATTAACAATAGCTAAGTGAGATAGCTTCTGGACTTATTCCGGATTGCATAACTTAATAACTTAATAACTTAATAACTTATGCATTATTAATATTAGTGTCCCCGTATAATATAACTCTTAAAGTTAAATGTTACTTTCATGTCCGCAGAATCATAACTAATTCTCTAAATCCCGCCAGACTCCATCGATCTTTCTACATCTTTCTTAAGATTATTCATAACATTAAATCTTAATTGCAATAACCAAGGCAAAAACTCTTATGTAAATTGGAACCAGCTTACCCTCCTTACCTCAGCGAGTCCTCCTCCCCAAATTATCAGCACTCGGCGACTCTAAGTATTCTGGAAGTTGCGCTCCCTCGTCCAGAGATTTGGGACAATTATCATGTCATAATGCCTTAACAGAGTTAAGCGCTGTTAGACTTACTGTGCAGTGTGCACTAAACGAACATAGATTTATTAAGTTAACCGTTTTAAGTTTCACGCGTACCCATCTAGCGGCACGTTCCAATATGTTTAGTTAATATTTTCCTCCTAAACAGTTTAGGAGGAAAATGTTAACTTAACTGGCCCGTTTCAATAAGTTAGTTAATATTTTCCTCCTAAACTGGCCCGTTTCAATAAGATTTAGTTTAATTAACATTTTCCACTTACCTAGCGTGTTTAGTTAACAGTTTCCACCTCTTGGCTCATAAACACCCACGTAACAGTAAACTTTTCCAACCTAATATCAATCAGAAGATTAAAATTGTTGTGACACTCTCCTATTTGTGCTGGTGGCAGCACACACAAACCTGTGCAATTTGCAAAAATACGGCATTTAATCGTTATTTTTAATCTGAAACGATCTGCAAGGGCCAACTGCCAAGATCTGACATTCAATAGACCATTGATTCCTGATTAACCTCACCACTACCTCGATTCGTTCGGCTCCCTGGATGTCCGCTGTAAGATTTAGATAGAATTAGAAACGCACAGGAAAACTGTCCGAAAATTCAGCTAATCGACATATTACAAAACGCATTTGAGGCCAAGTAAAACCGCTAATACATGTCCACAATCCACATGTTTCCTGTAACACATTATATTACCAGTCTTTTATACTTCTAATACACATTACACGATTTCTGGCCACGTAAACGGAAATTAATACCTTCCTCTCTGTCTTTCTCGCTATAGAGACAGTCGAAACGTGACTTGTCTCAGTTAAGGCAATCCTTGCTGTTCATTTGATCGCTTATTAAGCTTTAGTTATCAGTTAATTAACGAATACAGCAAGATTATTCTTAATTAGCTATAGCGATCAACCTCGAGGAATTATCAGATGTTTTGATACTCAGTCTCTATTTTTCTCTGCTTAGTTTAGAAACTAGAAATTGACCGTGATGGAGATGAACAGTGTTGGAAGTGCACAGCCAACCCTCCGCACTTTGGTTTCATACTCTGGCAGGTACTAAACTTGGGGTGCCCTTTTAGTTTTAATGGAAGGGGGCGACCATTTTAAAATATGGTCGCCCCTACAAGTTCACTTTGATCCATTATTCGTTAGATCATTTTTATGGAAATGTAATGAGTTAGCATGAGTTTTCGTGTGAGATTTTAAAGTAATTAAACATTAGCGCGGCAAATTATCGTTAAAACGCGTGCTAAATGCTAATAACCCCACCCCATAGTCCACGACCATCACTTGGTGTTTCGCATGTAAATTACACAAACCTATGAGTGCAACCCATTGTCCGGGGCCAGATTTGTCTCTTTTGAGCAGCTAGCTCTAGGTATGTTACCCCAGTCCTGGGTAAAATAGATCATGTGCCCTCTCCCCCCTTCGTGTTCCCTCTCCTCCCTCCGCATGTCACTCTTTACTGTGCACAGCTGATTCTGGAGCAGCTAATGATCCATAAACGAGAAAGTCGATTATTCTTTTCTTGAATCTTGAGCTCTGTACCAATTTTGTTATAAGAATTTGTAAGTGATGGCGAAGCGAAGCAGCTATCGCTCGAAAAGGAATGTTGAGAGGTGCGTGTGTAATCTATCACGTGTTAAATCATTCTACATTCAGAACGTTAAGATTCTTTATATACTAATAGTGGTTGAAATACAGTAGAATCGACGTATTTTTGGACAAAATGATTTCCCGACGAAATAAATGTTTCGTTAACATGAAATGCCCGTAGAAATAATTTGGTCTATCTTCTCCTTAGAGTTACAATTTTGGGATATTATTGCCTTCAATTTAAGGCGATGGCTTTGCTGGAAGGCAATGACTTGGCTGTAGGGCTATCCGTCAGAATAACATACAAAACAAGTTAAAGTTAATCACGTGACATTGGGCGTAGAGTGATTAACCATCATTCTCTACCATAATATGTCTACTATCCAGGCAATGTCTTGAAACGCAACATGTTCTTCTCTAATAGCAATTTTATTTGTTGCATAATTTGACTTGTACAATAAAGTGATTACTGATAACTGTTTTCCTATTCCAACAACAAGTTAGTTTCTCAGTTCGTCGGGTAGTTTTTCAGTTCAATATGTGATCGCAAAATAGGGACGGCATTCGACACAATCACTGATTTATCAACACTCAACATTTCAAGAACCAATCCGTGGACCAAGACTTCATTACCAAAGAACATCATAATCAAAATAAATCGCGATTGCGACAATTCATTAAACACGTTGGATCATTATAAAGTTATAACATTATGTTGAGGTTTTGATTGGAGTATGGAAAGATAGATCATTTTGATATTAAATTATCAAGTATAATAACGTTTCGGACGACCGGCAAGATAAATATTAATCGATAAGCAATAAGCATGTTATACTTATAGCTCGGCTGTTTTGCTATTTCGTTTCAGATGCACACCTTAATAATCCAAAATAAAATTCCAAGCTTTTTAAAATTAAAGCAACTTTTTTCTGAAACGTTTTACTACACGGGCCATTAAGTTTATAATTCGTGGATTTTGTTCCAATTTTCGCTACTTCACTCTAAGGCTCAAGCATTTCACATCGCATCAATCTTGAGTACGTGTTACGTTAACTAGCAGGAACCCGTCTAACTCGAGTTTTATTAATTGTGCGTGCTTTATTAATTGAAATCGAAGCGAACGAAAGTTCAAGTAAGGAGAAACTTCAACTTCAAGTAAAGTGAAACTCCAAGTAAAGCGAAACTCCGAGTAAAGTGAAACTCCGAGTAAAGCATGAAAATAACAATATTTTCACACCAAATCACCGCAGTACGACCAGTGTGACGGAGATAAAACACGACATGTACGCCGAGCACCTCCTCAACAATCTCCACGGAGACAGGTCCATGGAGACCTGTGACGTCATCATTAAGACCAAGGAGAACACGAGTATATTCGCTCACTCCGCAATACTCCGTCCTACTAACATTTACTTTAGGAAAAACCTCGACTTTAGGTCAGTGGAACTGTTTTATCTTCTAGATTTTTATCTGTTTTAAGACTGCGACAAATAGGCCTCTTTCTTGTGCTTAAAAACAAAAACTTCCTCCATAATTTAATGTGTTATAAGACAAAACAATCAGGGGCGTGCCCAGGGGGGCGATGGAGGCGGTCGCCGCCCCCTTTTTGAAATGTTGACCTATAATTTTTTGTCGAAAATTGCTTTTTATAGCAAAAAAATATTTTTATAAAAAATTTTATAAAAATTTTCACAAAAAAAATTAAACGTCATCAAACACAAGTATTACTTTTTAAACATATCTACTAATTTCGAACTAATTGAATAAGGCCGTTACACATGCCTTGTGCATACATTTTCCATGGGATTGCTGCCCTAATTCTAGGTAGCCACTCCTTCATGGTTTGGTGGGGATCGATGAGGCTCGTGACCCATGAGGCTCGAGATCCAATGAATCCAAAGAAATGGAAACACATTAAGAAACAGTTCAAGCTTAAAAGAGTCAAGAGATTAGTCATTAGTGATTAGAGAGAGGCAGATTAATATGGGAGCTAAAGTATCTACTTTGATCTAGTATCTTCATGTACAATGTTAGATGCCTGATGATATCCACTTGGCATCTAGGCTGATAAAGTTCAGAAATTTCTAATGACCAAGTGTGTATCAACTGCTTTGAACCTTCTGTAATGATATCCTTAATCCTATTGGCTTAGCATATAATTCTATAATTCAGTCAAAAAATTTTCCGGGGGCTGCGCCCCCGGGCCCCTGCCGCCGCTCGCTTTCCTCGCGGCGGTAGCCTCGGAGCCTACCCCTTTCAACAATCCTGTGCACGCCCCTGAAAAAATCTTGGGCCCATTTGCCAGTTGTATCCTATATATTGCTATTATATTCCTAATCGCCATTAGGAACATTGATAAACTTTCTCATTTTCGATTTGCGACAAATGACCTCTGAATCACTTAACATATTGAGCTTGCAGACACCTTTGACACTTGACAGCCATAGTACATACTACAGACAATTACAATCACACAATAAACCATCTAGTCCAGTCATTTACGGACATTTTTGGGTTAGTACCTGCAAATTTTCAGATACCCACGAAACTTTGCACAGACCTTCCCAAAGGTATGATAAAACGATTTTCGGTTGGAGACATTTTTTTTACTTTGGGCAAAACCCAGGAGGGCCACGCCCATCTGACCCAATAACGTAACTGACCCCTTGCTTCTGAAGGTCGTAGAGACTTCAAAATAGGCTTAAACGAAGCCGCATATGCATGTTTATATAAGAGTTATTGATCAACACATTGCCTAAAATCCTTACTTTTCGAGAAATTCGCCAAAAACCATTTTGGGCGTGGCGCTGAGCCGATTTTACTAACTTTTGATAGGATTGTGATAGAGTCTTTGGATAGAGTGCAAAAGAACCGCAATTGGCATATTTATATATGACTTACGAAGAAACATATGCCTTAAAGTGCTTACTTTTTCAGTTATTGGCGAAAAACTGATTTTCGGTTCCAGAAATCATGCAAAAATATGGGTATGTGGTACATTGGGCTATGAAGGCCTTAGAGATTTTTGAATGAGTGCAAATTGTGCAGAATGGCCATGTTTATATACAACTTATGAAGCAACATGCACCCTTAAATGCTTACTTTTCGAGTTATTTGGGGGAAAAACAGAGAAAATTTGCACAAAATAGAGCAAAATTGGTTATATCAGCCATTTTTGCCTCCCGTTCTATGTTAATAACTCGAAAAGTAAGCATTTTAGGGTGCATGTTGCTTCATAAGTTGTATATAAACATGGCCATTCTGCACAATGTGCACTTATTCAAAAATCTCTAAGGCCTTCATAGCCCAATTTACCACATACCCATATTTTTGCATGATTTCTGGAACCGAAAATCAGTTTTTCGCCAATAACTGAAAAAGTAAGCACTTTAAGGCATATGTTTCTTCGTAAGTCATATATAAATATGCCAATTGCAGTTCTTTTGCACTCTATCCAAAGACTCTATCACAATCCTATCAAAAGTTAGTAAAATCGGCTCAGCGCCACGCCCAAAATGGTTTTTGGCGAATTTCTCGAAAAGTAAGGATTTTAGGCAATGTGTTGATCAATAACTCTTATATAAACATGCATATGCGGCTTCGTTTAAGCCTATTTTGAAGTCTCTACGACCTTCAGAAGCAAGGGGTCAGTTACGTTATTGGGTCAATATGGGCGTGGCCCTCCTGGGTTTTGCCCAAAATAAAAAAAATGTCTCCAACCGAAAATCGTTTATTCATACCTTTGGGAAGGTCTGTGCAAAGTTTCGTGGGTATCTGAAAATTTGCAGGCACATGTCCATAAATGACTGGACTAATCTGCATTTTGCATTATGCTATAATATGTAGGATCGATGCGACGTATAATTACAAATGGTAATTACAAAATGATAATTACAAAATGATAATTACAAAATGGTAATTACTGACTAAAACAGTGCTGCTTATAAAGTTCTTCTACAATCATGCTACTAAGCAAGTTGGAAATCGATTACGACATTTGTATTAGACAACAGATTGGACAAGTGCTCATTGTGCTCTTTGATACCTGAGAAAATGTGGCAACTTAGCCGACCTGTGTTTAATATTCATTATTAATATGCATATTTAGGGATATGCTGGAAAGAATCTAGAGTTGTAGGTTTATAACCTACCAGGACGCGCGCCGAGTTGGACTCGTCGACGGTCCTAATATATGGAACAAATATTTTACGAGTATCACCCGTTAAATCTAGAGCTGTCTCAAAATCGTTTCGCAAGTACTATTAGGAGGTCTTAATAACAATTTAACCATGTCACATAATCCAGCTGAACAACTGAACTACAACTTAAAGTCTTAACTTAATCTTCCCCCCAGATTGTGCAAAGCTGGTCGGTACACTATTGACCTATCTCACCTCTCAGCTACTGCACTCCAGGACATCATTGACTATCTGTACACTGGTAAGTAGACTAGACATCCAGATAAGGGGGGGTATTTTAGTTGCAGACTGAAGAAAACTCAAATGTGCACCATCTTTGATCCTCCCACATTTCATCTCAAGAAGTTTCACCCCCAAATAGTCGCCGGAAACGTAACTTAGTAACTCACTCTATAACCCTACTACCATGACAGTGACCCCCTGGTATAGCACCCTGGTATAGCACCTTGGTATAGCACCCTGGTATAGCACCTTGGTACAGATATACAGCCCCTGCAAGTCAGATCGCACATCTCAAATCATTTTATGTTACGGAGTTTCATATTAACAAGAAGCGATGTAACAAAGTCAATATATTGTATGTGGCCGTGGGGTGGCAAGTCCTCATTCATCGCAGCCCGCTAGTTTAACTGCCTCTCAATATCATGGGTCCAGGAACAAAAGCAGGCCCAATTAAGCTCGTCAGCAGCTCAGGTTGTTCATTGGCCTTTGTATTCTCCGATACTGCATCTTTAACATGTAACTGTTGAGACATGCTCACAGCTTTATAACCGTACCCCGAACAAGCACTCCGGCACAAGGCCCAATATGCACAAGCTCAATATGTTGATTAATTTAATCTGAACCGCGCTGGAGAACACGTGGTTTATCTGACCAATCGTAAAATCAGTCCCATTTTTAGTGCACCAGTTGTTCCTGTGTTCTGGTTCGGCTTGAACACCCCTTGTAACTAAGAATTAATCATCAAGCTTTCGTATCGGTAAAACGCTCTGCTTGATCATATTAGTAGCTCTTAACATGTCTTTCTGTCGAATGGGGGCTTCACACTCAGGACAATATAAAGTTTGTGTGACATTTCGCAGAGTATCGAAAATATCGGAAACATTTTCGTCCTTTCGAACTCAAAATCTAATTTTGTTGTTGAAAATGGTAACATTTCGCAAAATTTATGACATTTTAATTGTGTTTTTTGATGTTGGTTGCGAAACATGGCCCACAGTAATTATCCCCCATCTCTACCTCGCGGGCAATTCATCAGACTCTCAGCACGATATGTTGCATGTTCATCAGACTCTCAGCACGATATGTTGCATGTTCATCAGACTCTCAGCACGATATGTTGCATGTTCATCAGACTCTCAGTACGATATGTTGCATGTTCATCAGACTCTCAGCACGATATGTTGCATGTTCATCAGACTCTCAGCACGATATGTTGCATGTTCATCAGACTCTCAGCACGATATGTTGCATGTTCATCAGACTCTCAGCACGATATGTTGCATGTTCATCAGACTCTCAGCACGATATGTTGCATGTTCATTGCCGGCTTTTCGTAACATTCAATATGGTTAAGGGGTTAATTAAATGCGTGGATGGTTTTTATTGTGACGGTTCACTAGTCCCGATAATATTTTCCTTCGAGTAGTTATCTTAATCGTTACGCGAACAACTACCTAAAGATGTCACACTTCACAGGCTGGCACATTTTACGGCTTCTACAGTCGATAAACCTAATGTACAGCTGTATAGATTTAATATTATGCTTTTCTATTTAAACTTTTAGGAGAATAACCAAACGCAATTTTAAATTATACAATAACTCTATTCTAGGACAGTTTAACATTGTGAACAAGAAGTTTCTGTCCATGGTACTTACTCTCAAGGAGCTGGAAATGGAAGAAATCATAGACCAGGTAGGGAATTACAATATCCTCATTATAATATCCACATTAGTTTTATGATTCTTTGTTCCCATTATTTAAATTCTCAATCTTTCCATTTTTAATCTTTCTCGAATGTTCCGGAATATTCTCGATGATCTGCCATCAAGACGGTGGTAATCGCACTCGGAAATTGTTGAATTATAAACATGTTGAATGTGGTGGATCTAAGAAAGCATGATTAAGTCTGTACGTTATGGCCTCTCCTACCCACTTTTTCTCGGAGCTTATGGCCTGCTCAAGCATGTAGGTTGAATGTCGTACTCCCGGTTTATGACCTGATCAAGCATGTAGGTTGAATATCGTACTCCCGGTTTATGACCTGGTCGTATTCACCAACCGTAATGGGTGTTACTTTTCTCCCAGTTCCTGAGTAACTAACTATGTAAAGGATGGGCCATATTATACACAATGACCAGAGTAGCAGGAATTCAGGAATTGGAGGTGTGACAAACAGTTGCTAACTTTAGTACATGTGCTAACTTTAGCACACTTGTAATGGAGCTCGAGATTACGTTATTTCTGGCTAAACCAGTAGATTAGATTTGATATCTATGTATTTAGACAGATTGGTAGAGGATGTTTAAATATATTGTTAAGTTGCTGACGCAGATGGCAGAAATAAAATGAATATTATACAGAATTCAATATATTTAGTGCATTTCCTAAATCCAATAATTCATGATTAACTTAAAGCATTATTCTATCACAGTATTTTTACGCCTCCAGTTTTAAAAACATTTCCGTTATTCATATTGACAATTTTAATAAGTTAGTGCTGATAATGATATAATGATTGATGGGTAGATACTATCAGACATTCCAGACCACAGGATCATTTAAAGGGAATACCCAAGGATGAGAACCGCTAGTATAGTATAGGTTCCTAAGGATGACCGGTTATTATGTTAAAATGATGTCTATATATAGACATACTCTATATATATACAGGGTGGGCCAAAAGTCAGTACCCATACGTTGGCCTTTATAGCTCAGTCACTGAGTGCCCAATTTAAATACTTCCTTCTGGTATGACTTAGTACCACCACTGGTTCGAGGAATTTGTCAACTCGAAAAATATTTGCGTTCATTTTCATCAAATGGAGGTTCATTTTCACATTTATTTGATAGTTTTGATAGTCGGATCAAGCTAAATGTTATTGAATTGTGTTTGGCCATTCGAATTACGTTTGTCCTGAAAGAATTAGAACTGTAGCTTCTCAGATGACCGAGATATGAAGCATAACGAGTTTATTCATTACGTGTGATCAGGTGATTGGTTTACCTAATCACGTGATCAGGTGACCCCGTTAACTACCCCGTTAAACATTATGGGAATTGTTAAGGGTGCCCAATTAAGGTGTCGTGTCACGGTGTCACATAATCACCCAGTCAATTTTGTTAACGAGATACAGAAAATGCTTGATAACTTCGTCATTTCTAATCCGTTTTGCCTCATGTTTTCAGATCATATGCAACATTTGATAATCTACCGTCTCTGGAAAAATCAGGCGTTCAGCATGTTCAGAGAAAACAATATAGGTGTTTTAATATTGAATGGGCGTGGTCTAAAATATTCGAATTTTCAAATTTTGACGACGGAATCCTCGAACCAGTAAGTACAGTGTGCCATCTGCAAAGCAAAAGCTCTCAAATATAAAACATGGAGGAGCTATTAAGGCCAACGTATGGGTACTGACTTTTGGCCCACCCTGTATATAGAGTCATTAGTGGCTTCGCTTGATACTGACGCTAACACCGTTTTTGAGAGTATATTGTTTATTGAATGTGCGTATCTGTGCTCACTTTAGGACATGTTGGGTGGGCTTATTCTCTGTACAGATGTTGTTGACAGTGGGCATGGGTCATAACTTTGCCTTTCGTGCCAGATATTATACTGCAGCCTTATTTTAAAGTTAATTGTTGTACTATCTGATGAAAGTTTTAAGTTAAATCACCATTATCTCCGAAATAACAGAATATTCTGGACCTTTTAAAACTTCACCAACTTCAATTTCGTGCTACCTGGATATAAGCTCACGAACACAAATGTGTTAGCAACATGAAAATTGGAGACTGTCATGATCAAATACACACAACACGTGATATCCTCCGTGATCATCCTGCAGATATCACACCATATAACTCCAACAACGTGACACACACCATATTATGTAACAGAAACTTTATGATTTCTTTTTCTCAACGTCAACACGTTGACTGTAACTCCCCAAACGGGTGGTATACTTCAACCTGGTCTATGTTTCATTATCTAGAGCTGCTTATATGTTTGTTTCGTTTACTAGTGCACCTACTACCGGAATACCCTTGTTGTGAGTTGTAGCTTACCGATCATTCGAGAATATTCGAGAACATTCGAGAGAGTTTGACGGTGGATCATTCGAGAATATTCGAGAACATTCGAGAGAGTTTGTCGGTGGATCACGTGAAAGTTGAAGATGAGTAGCTGTTTTTGTTTTCGTAACACAGTGAACAGTGTTAACTCTCGTTTGGTCTCCGAACAGTGTATGGAGAAGCTGAAGACGTCTCTGAGTGATAAGAATGTGTTTGATATCCTGGAACAGTCCACTGGGGATATCGGTATGCTTTCTTTTTATTCCTTTTTTTTCTGTGTTTCAGTTCGGAATTTTTATTTAGTAATTCATTTAGTAAATTTGTTCAGAAAATTTATTTAGAAAATGTATTTAGAACATGCTTTTAGTAAATTTGGATTTATATGTCTTTGGTGGTCTTGAAAAATACTGAGCATTTACGATGTTACCAACCAAGGGCTTCTTTCAAGGATGGCGGGAAAATTTTCTCTTTGAAACTAAAACGCTCTGTAAAATTAGAGGACCTCTTTAAATGTTGAAATTTTGCCTTCAAAAGGAGATTTTAACAGATTTTAACAGGCTGGATCCGTTTTAAATTGTATTATGTCTCCTAACTGTTAGAGCAGAGCAAGTTTATATTATTCTAGAAGAAGAATACTCTCAAATTGAGGGTCTCAATCCTCTATATAATGTTTTCTTTAATTGAACAAAAGAATTTTCAAAGAGCTGCATTTGTCCTACAAAGGAGTCCACCATTTAACACACTATTTAACCATACTATTATGCCTTCCCAAATGCACGGTAACTCAATATAACGGGTATAAAACATGCTGTTAGTCGACTGGATCTGATTCTAACGACTAAAACCTACCTCAGGGGTACTGAACTCAGTGGCTATGACCTACATAGAGGACAACTTCAAGACACTTTACAAAAACGACAGGATCTTAAGGTTGAACTGGGAGAGTTTCCACAAGATACTGTCCAGTGACCGTCTCAACGTTGAGAATGAGGATAAGGTAATTAGAATTTTTTTAATTTTCTGTATCGAGTTTTAAATTTTACCTGATCAGCTTCTAGTTTTAGTGTCCTTGTATAATGGTAGCTGATATCATTGTCGTTTCTCGTCTCACAACATGCTTGTAGCTCCTCCTACTCGGTGTCCACTGAAATTTGTATTTTGTTTGGATTATGGTTTTAAAGGTTGTGTGGTATTATTATCTCTATTATTTAACGGCACTTATTTACTACACGGCACTTACTATACGGCACTCACTATACGGAACGTACTTACTATACTTAGCTCACCATCTTTCCCAATCTATTGCCGATCAAATAATCCCCAATCCATCAGTATTCACAGTAACCCCACCAATAACTGTGTGCTAGTGACCCCACCCCAGCAACTCTTAACGGTATATAACCCCATGTCTCGCCAGGTCTATCAGTTAGCATTAGCGTGGGTAGCTAAGGTATATAACCCCATGTCTCGCCAGGTCTATCAGTTAGCATTAGCGTGGGTAGCTAAGGTATATAACCCCATGTCTCGCCAGGTCTACCAGTTAGCATTAGCGTGGGTAGCTAAGGTATATAACCCCATGTCTCGCCAGGTCTATCAGTTAGCATTAGCGTGGGTAGCTAAGGTATATAACCCCATGTCTCGCCAGGTCTATCAGTTAGCATTAGCGTGGGTAGCTAAGGATGACATTGGAAGAAAACCTCACGTTACCGAGATCTGCTCAAAAATACGGATCCCCTTCATGACAGACTACGGACTACAGGTTCGCTCTTCTAACCTGCAGTTACTTTTTCATTTTTTAGATATCATTGAGCATATAATAATAAGCAGTGATACAACGTATCTCGGGATGATCCGTAGAGTCTCGACTAGTTTCGGCTTACCGCCATCAACAGGATCGATGAATCATCTCAAATTATTTGTTATTATATAGTAGTGTTGAAAGTATTAAAACTTACTTTTTCATAACTTTCTAGTAGTTCAAGTTACTTTTGGTCACTTTTTATTTACTCTTGAAACCTGATTTGTTTTAAGTTATTTTTGTTAGCTGAACAGTACATTTTTACTGTTTTGAAGTGTTAAGTTTCTAATATATGGTTGAGTTACTCTCAACCCCCTTATAGTCCCTAGTGTGGTTTGAAGCCTCATAACTTTAATGGCTAGTGTAACTTTCATTAGTGATTAGAACACAAAATTCGTTGTGAGTACAGCACATTCTTCATTTATTACGAGCTGCATAGCATGGTGTTTGTAATAGTAAATAATATTCGCATATTGCGTGTGCAAAGAGTCGTTAGCAATTATCATTCCACCAGTTATTAATTGTAATTATACCATATGGACACGTTCATTGAAGTTTGAGGATATTGGTAAATATTAGTGACCCTACTGAATGGCACGATGATGTAAAATGTGTCACACTATGAAACTATATAAACCCTCTAACCCTAAGATAATCGTTTCATCCTCTAGATAAAGTTTGTCGCATAACGATATCTTTATCAGACGATAAGATATCGCTAAAATGCGGCCGGCAGTGAGTTGTAAACTTTGTCACACTATAAAAACGTGACGGAGTTTATATGGACCCCTTGTTGCCGTGTTTGACAAAATTTTCGAATTTCCAATTCATAGAATGGCTGTATATGACTATTATCTACATATTTAGCGACTTTTTTTCTTAAATGGTAGCACCATGTAAACTCCGTCACACATTTAAGAAATTTATATGAGGGATGTTTATGACATCCTGACAAGAAATGCCGAATAGTCTAACATTATTTTGTGAGCTGAATGTGTTTGGAATTGTTCACATATTTCATTGTTATAGGCAAATACAAATACAGAAGGCAGAAATAGGTAAATTTAGTCACATAAATTTGTATGATATCTCAACATGTGTGAAATTGAGTAAATATTAGTATACCAACTTAAACACCCTATATTACGTACTATGGATCAATTAACAATATTTCAACCATACGCCGGTCATATAAATTATTATATGGCAGTGATATGTTAACATTGGATAAATTTCAACACCTAAACAGGGTAAAAATTTGTAAATTTCGTCACAAAAAAAATGTTATAACTTTATTTGCTCCGTGTTGGCAAAATAACTAATTTATCGACATATTGATGGTGATAAAGTAACAGTATATAATACTAATTGAGGTATGATTCTTCAAAATAGGGGCAAGAAATGTAAATTTCGTCACATCAGCCATTGCATTAGTTAGATATATTTTCTTTCATATCAAATGCCCTTATTATAGTCGGAATGGATTTATACAGGAAATATAGAAACCCATGCCCATTTTTCATCACATTGAAATTATACTGTTGGGGCAGGAAAAGTAAATTTCGTCACATTTCGGTAAATTAGTGATATCAAACTCAGCATTGTTAAACTTGGGTTCTGATTTTCTGAAAAATAACCTACCAATAATTCCTGGAAGAATATCGAATTCTAATCGGGGTATGGTTCTTCAAAATAGGGTCAAGAAATGTAAATTTTGACACATACGTCATTGTAAAATTTAGATATACACTTTCTTTCACATCAACAGTCCTAATTATAGTTTGAAATGATTAATTCAGAGATAAGGAAATATAGAAACCCATGCCCATCTTTCATCACATTGAAATTATACTATTGGGGCAGGAAAAGTGAATTTCGTCACATTTCGGTAACTTAGTAAAATTAAACTCAGAATTGTTAAACTCGAGTTCTGATTTGCTGAATAATAACCTACTGATAATTCCTGGAAGAATATTGAATTCTAATCGAGGCATGTTTCTTCAAAATAGGGTCAAGAAATGTAAATTTCGTCACATCAGCCATTGCATTAGATAGATTTTCTTTCATATCAACTGCCCTTATTATTATTGTGACAATTTTTACATCAACTGCCCTTAACTTGAATCAGCTCTATCCGTGCATCGTCCTTATTATATACAGTTTTCCCGCCTTCCAATACAAACCAAAATCAGATATAAATGATTTCGGCAATTCACCCAAAATTTTAAATTCCATATAATGTGACAGAATTTACATCATTTCCCAATAAGTGCATGTATTTGCTAACTTTTCAAAACAACATATTTTAGGGCTATGATTGGTAAAAAAAACCATCAAATAATGAGTTGAAAGGGTTTTGAGGACACCTCACAGTAGAAAAGAGGTATCGTATTCTGAGTGTGACAAAGTTTACGAAATATTGCCTTAAAACCGTTCGATACCTGCCCTTTAGCCAAATGTTGTATCATAATTGTTAGAATGACCTAATCTACTATATTATTTTAAACAAAAAATGCTAATTGGGCAGCTATGGTTAACACAGTCACAAAAATGTGACATTTTTTACATTATAGTGCCTAAAAACAATAAATTGTATTTCTGAGCCGTGTATATGGAAGTATGGTTCACGTGGCTAATGTCCAGAACTTCTGAACACGCTATTTTTTGGTTTACCAATATCCTTAAACTTCAACATGAACGTGTCCATTTACGATTTCGTATCATTTTGTGACGATGTTTACATCAACTGCCCTATACTTCAATCAACTGTATCCGTGTATCGTCCTCATATAGAGTTTTCCCGCCTTCCAAACCAAAATCAGATATAAATGATTTCGGAAATTCACCCAGAATTTCAAATTCCATATAATGTGACAGAATTTACATCATTTCCCGATAGCCAAGCGCATGTATTTGTTAACTTTTCAAAACAACATATTTTAGGGCTATGATTGGCAGAAGAACTATCAAATAATGAGTTGAAAGGGTTTTGAGGACACCTCACAGTAGAAAATAGGTCTCGTATTCTGAGTGTGACAAAGTTTACGAAATGTTGCCTTAAAGCCGTTCGATCACTGCCCTTTAGGCCTACATTGTATCATAATTGTTAGATTGACCTAATCTACTATATTTAAGACCAAAAAATGCTAATTGGGCAGCTATGGTAAACAATGTCACAAAAATGTGACATTTTTTACATAATAGTGCCTTAAAGCAATACATTTTATTTTTGAGCAGTGCATATGGGAGTATGGGTCACGTGGCTAATGTTCAGAACTTATGAACACGCTAGATTAATATATGTTAAAATTAAACCACTATCGTCAAAAACGCTTTTTTAGAAATTTACCAATTTCCTCAAACTTCAATGAACGTGTCCATATAATAGCGGTGATGTGTTAAACAACGTGTCATTAACCGGAAATCCTGGATAATGTACGGGGGATGATTTGTGAGTGGGGGATTGTTACAAAAACCGTGTAAAAAAAACATTTTCTCCTTGCAGAACATGGTGTGTAACAAGAACATCCTGACGAGTAACGAGGAGTTTTACAATAATATAGAGACGTTGCTAGGCAACCCTGCAGCGTTGCAGGTCCCCTTTTATCAGAGGGTCAATGATAAGATGGGGAAAATATTCGTGTTTGGGGGGTATCTGAACAGATCCCACATTACTACCACTATGGAGGTTTACAACAGGTATATAGCAAGTACACTTAGGTATATAGCCAGTACATTTAGGTACTATAGCAAGATATGGTCTGAGTAGTAGTACTCACTTCTAATATTTAAATATCCATCATTATCATTAGTCCCCTGACTATTAGTCGCACTTCCACATTTTATAGCTTACTTTTACAACAACAGTTTAAATACAAAATAAAACCAAATTGCTGGTAACCATAGTAACTAGTAACCATATTGCTGGTAACACAAAACATGAACCTGTTCTCATTGTCCAGGCGTACAGGAGCATGGGAAACAATAGAGGAGATGAACATGACAAGTACACCACCCAGTATCTACTCGGCAACCATGACTTCTGTTGCTGTTGATAATAAGATCTACATCGCAGGTATATTGTTACTTCATGGAGTTACATTATAATGTTACGTTACTTCATGGAGTTACATTATGATTTTATAATGTTACGTTACTTCATGGAGAGTTACATTATAATGTTACGTTATAACGCCTATCGTAGTGATAACGTGGAGACAGTATTTTTTGCGGTACCATGACATTGTCATGGCAACAGTTAAACATTGTTATGGTTACTATAAGTATGACAATGGTGGGAGAGTTCCAACCCTATTTTACCCATTATCCATATCTACATTTTAGTTTACGTTTTTCTCACAAAATGACCATATTTGGGATTAAATCCTTATCTTAAAACCTACCTACAGTAAAACTTTGTCACGACAACAATATAACCGTGACACACTATCCCAGGGGGACAAAGTGACAGCGGCACGAGGTTGGATACCACCTTTGTATTTGACGGTATTCTCTCCATCTGGGCCAGTCTTCAGGAGATGCCGACTGTAAGAGTGAAGAGCGCTGCTGCTCGCTTTGGCAACTTCTTGTACGTCAGTGGGGGACAGAAGGATAGGCATACCATGAACGAAGTTATCAGGTAATGTGAAGTGCGATGTATATCATGTATATGCTGTATTAATGTAATGTATTCTGAGGGATGCGGCGGTGACTTATCTTGAATAACTTTAACAACAACTTGGTAGACGCAATTACTGGTCGTGTTTAATTCTCCTCAGACGCTATACATAATTAAGCGTCTGACGGAACTTAAGACGAAAAGTTTGTGTAATTAACGCTTACATCAAATTTACCTCCACCAATGACTACAACATTGACTAATTTGTGATTTCTAGGAATAATGTTTGGTCATTGCATCCTTGATCCCCCCCTTTTGAGCACGCGGAATAGGGTGAGGTTGTGAAGTTGGTCAAGTGCTAATAAAAGTGCTGACACGCCAACCTCTAATAATCGTTAATACCTTGACAGGGCTCTATCGTTCCATGTTAAAAATCAAGCAGCTACTGTGTACTGGTAGTAATATGTAGTTTATGACCAAAACTGTGTTAAAATCAGAATTACTGTTGAAAGCTGAACGACCGTTTCAAGTCACAACGTATCACGTGATCTATAGTAGTATAGTGTATAGTGTATAGTGTGTAGTGTATAGTGTATGGAGTTGAGTCCATTACTTTAAACTTACCCTTGGCACTAAACCACTAAACCATATATTCCAGTTTAAACCTCCCATTCCCCCATGCACGAATAAAACGCCAAGATCCAACCCCCCCCCCCCCCCCCCCCATGTTAAACAACTTACAGCAGTGCAGGAACCTGCCCCCCCCCCCCTCCCCCCACATGTTAAACAATTTACAGCAGTGCAGGAACCTGGCCAGCAGACTCAAAATGCAGACAGCTGACAGACAAAGTCCTCCTTATAATCATAAAGCCTGTCTGTTTCACGTTCATAGACTATCTCTAAGTAATATTACCTAACCACAATCCAGCTGCAAATAACATCCCCCACACTCAGGTTGAACATACACCGGGATTTGTGGGAGACAGTGAACCCCATGATCCACGCTCGACACAGCCACGGAATGGTAACAGCCGGACAGAAGATATTCGCGGTCGGAGGGGACAGTGGAACAGGACCGGTAGCAACTGCAGAGGTGTTTGATAAGGGTACGGGGCAGTGGAGCGAGATTGCTAGTATGAGCAATGCCAGGTAGGGATAGTACTGAGTGCAAACCAAAGGACTATGGATCCAATTTTCCAACATTTTCTTAATCTGTTGGTAAGAACTACGGTTTGAGACCTCTTGTACCGAATTAATTTCTAAATTCCAATCGGTTAACACGCCTAAATCTCCTACCCTCAGGTTTGGATGTCAGCTGGTGGCGATCAAGTCTCAAGTGTACGTGACCGGCGGGTGGAACGGCCGGAGAGCACTGCACGAGTGTGAGAAGTATAACGAGGAGAACGATAGTTGGGGTTACATCAGTCCTATGGCTACGAGGAGATACGGTCACATGGCTGTCTCCTTCGGTAGCAAAATATATGTTCTCGGCGGTCAACAGGTAACGTTCAAACTAACCTACAGTAAGACTTTATTACTGACTAACGTATTAATTCCGTGATTAGTGTACACCAATATCCCTTATATATTTAATTATTTAGCAATCAATGACTGATTCCATTGCACGATCGAGTCCGAGAGAATTAATATACATATTAGCTGCATGGTATTGTGATTGATTTGAATATATTGTTATTTCCTCCAAGCTTGATAACTAAAATTAAAATGAAAAACTTCGAACAACGTGAATGATTTATAAACATAAAGAACTTTGAAGCAAATGCTATCCTCTAACCTTTGAATGTTGTTCATCACGTCAAATGCGAGGTGGCGATATTGTTGTTCATCTTGGTTCCGTAACTGTTAGAAGAGTCACCAAACACCAATATAAGAATTCAGAAACCGTCAAACCCGCGAGATAAATTGGTTTTATCAGGCTGACGATGTGAATTAATACACTAACAATAAAAACCATTTTATGTCGCAATTTCAACACAAAGCACAATAACTTTACTAAAATTTTTAATTGAGAGCAAATATAAAATTTAGGGGAAGACAAGAAATACTTTAAATGAATATGAACTAAATAAGACTAAGAGCCTCTTGAAATCCCTGTCTAAACTGAAACACAATTCCGCCTAGTCTGGTCCGTGGACTGCCATAACAGGGGCAGGGGCAAGGAAAATGAGTACCCACCAAGGTCCAGGCATGGGCAAACCTCTGAATGTAAGTATATGTACCAGCGTTTTAAACTGAACTGGACTACTGGTCCTTCTTCAACTACGAGCCAGTGCCTGAAAAACTTGGAGTGAAACTTTAAACTTGTTGTCTTGAATCATGGATTATATTCTTAAACATGTACATTGTTAAAACTCTTTTATGATTATTTTACGGGTTTGATGGCAGATATGCTGTATTGATTCGTTAAGCAATCATCATACTGCAGTAGACCAAATCTTTGTTTCAGTGAACTAATCATCGAACAACATCAATACAAATACAAATACAATATACATTAATACATTATACACTGTGTATAATGTACTTCACAATTCTTCACAACACACGAACCTACCTTTCTAAAACATTGAAGCACTTATTAAGCACATTTAGTACTGAGTTCTTGCATTTAAGTTTGAGAAATTGGAACGCTTTGAGCTGCCAGGCAATTGTTTATTGTTTCGTCTTTGCCAAACAAACCTATTACGATAATTACAAAACTTCTGCAAATCATATGGATATTGTGCTATTTCTGGTATAAAGAGTGCTGACATTACATTTCTGGTATAAAGAGTGCTGACATTAAATTCCTGGTATGGCTAAATGCTGACATTAATGTATCGCAGGTGCAACATGAGGACGCTATCGCAAGTGTGGAGTACTACGACGCTGTAGAGAACGTCTGGACAAGAGCACCAGATATGGGCAATGCCCGGGCGTGGGCGGCTGTAGGAGCCGTCATGTGAGATGTGGTGTTCGGTGGAAGAGGAGTGGGTCACCAGTAGGGCCCGGAAATGGCACTTCATCAGTTGAAAGACCAGGCGCTTTTTCGTTGACATTCGAGAGAGAAATCACCAAAATTGCGCATTTGAATTCTTTGTTCTTCAACTTCTTGTCTTTACGTTCAATTTTTGAGATTTTGATGCAAAGAACTCTCGAAGAATACAGAGTTGTCTATCTTACTCTTCATGATCAGAACTGATAAAATTGAGATTTTCTTACCGTTTTATTTTGTGTTACTTATATTTATATTTTATTAATTGTGTATCTGAGCTATCGGATGGAATTCTGGCAAGCTGTTTAAAATAATACTTTGTGTTGAAATTGTTTTAGATCTTCTGATTGCACTTTCTGAAAACAACTTTTAATTGTCAAAGACATATCTAATTGTTAATAAAACCTAATAACTGAACTGCACAATCTTAAATTACACCAGAAAAGTGAGAACTATTACGATCTAAAATTACTTTCGACTTACCGATAAAAGATCGACGAGGATGGGATTCGAACCCACGCGGGCATTGCCCAATGGATTAGCAGTCCATCGCCTTAACCACTCGGCCACCTCGTCCCTGCGACGGATATAGATGCAATGATCAATGAACAAAAGTTGCTGCCATAATTTAAAAAGCAATTCTTGAAAAGTATTGGCAAATTCAGACGTCCCTACAATTGAAATTTTAGTAGAATCGTCTGCGGTGTTCTATGAAGTTAATTTTATTCTGAGCCATACCTACGCCCCCCTTAAACTGGACGCCTAGTAAATCGTAATTTCTACACGCATTCTATGGGGAAGTACGTGCGCGTCGAAAATTTCAGTGATAAAATGATGTAGAGGATGAACTACCCGACGAATAACTCATTGGGCGTTCGCGCGTTCCATATCTCAATGTACCATTCTGTCTCACTTACGGAACTTTGTACAAAACTGTTCCAAATTACAAGGCCGTAAATCAGTCGTTCTAACAACAACTATTTTTTATAAGTTTCTTTCAGATCCTAATTTCCTTCATAATTTTCGAATATTAAGAAAAGTTTAAGACTGACACAATTTGTGCAAGTTTGGGTAACTTTATATGTGCTAAATTAGAAATATCACTTCTATCACAAGAAATAACTCTAAAGCGATGGTGGGCCACTGAACACAGACAATCATCTCCAGATCCTAATATTTGACTTTCTTCTAACTTCCCAGATAGTAAAATGAATATATAACTGACAATATGTGCAAGTTTGAACGATTTTCTAAGTGCAAAATTTGACATATCACTTTAAATTTAATTTAGAGATATTTTCTTTTGTATTTTCAATTTATATTAGATATGTTTTTAGATATCTCAAATTTGGAACATTGAAATTCACCCAAACTCGCATATAATGCATCGGTATTACCCATCTGTATTACAATCTGGGAAGTTTGAAGAAAAATCGCATGGTTATGATCTTGAAAATTCGCTGGTTTGGAGATATTTTCTTGTGTTTGAAGTTATATCTCGAATTCTTCACCTAGAAATTTGCCCAAACCTGCACAAATTACAAGTCTTAAATAGGAAGTTTCCATAAAATCCTATGGTAGAATTTTGAGATAATCGACTTTCGTCATAGAAACAAGTAAAACACCATTTTTTTTCAATAAATAAAAACTGAAATGAATCTAAGCCCTAGGTCGTTCTTTCTTCTGTTTGTATAAAGCGAGGAGTGATACACTGGCGACTTTGACAACCTTGAATCTGACTCCGGGAATATCTCCGACGGCGTGACCAGATCGTCCGAATCCAGAGATGAGAACCTGAAAGTTAGACTGTTGTAATTGCGGTAAAACAGTAATAATCGAGGAAAACGATGCTTTTTATTATTTATTAAGTTGATTTACTCGGCCAACTCTCGTTATTTGTATCACAATTTCAAAAAATGGCAATCTTTTTTCGCTCTTTTGAGTGGGTCGATCATGTAATTTGATAGTTGGGTTAGGGTTAGGTTTTTATTAAGCAGAAGTTTCTGTTACGTCTCGACCACGACAAGGTACCGAAACGTCGACAAATATTTGTTTTAAACACGGAGACTGGATACTCTCACTTCGTCCCCACTCCCCAACTATCAAATTAATTGCAAAAAGTTTAAGATCGCACAACCAAAATAAAAGCATCCCAAAATTAACGATAATATTTTTAAAGAGGGAGTAGAAGGCCACACCCATTTTCTTTCGCTCGTTAAATTTTCGAGCAGTGCTTGCCAAGATGTATTTTGCAACAGGTGATGGCGGTGCAAGTGATTTCTAGCACAGTCGATTTTACGACGATTAAAAGGATTACAAATTAGGATCATCAATCATCCAAGTGAAGTGATTAAGAACTAAAAGAGAATCTAAAATAATCACCTCATCGTTCTCTTCAATGTAGTTCAAACAACCATCATTAGGGACGAAAGCTGTGATTTTCTTTCCGTTCTTGATAAGCTGAACTCGAACACACTTCCTGATAGCAGAGTTAGGCTGTTTGGCCTCAACACCGACCTTCTCCAACACGATTCCTGTGGGTTTAAGTTTTTAGATTGATATACAAATTTAAGAAGTTCACTGTCATTTGCAAAATCTCAGGGATGAAGACAAATATTTCCGAACGGTACATTGCCATTTTATTCACTGTTAATTGAATCGAAGCGCTTATTTTAAAACCAAAACAGTTATGTTTTGTCATTTAAGTTAAATACTTGACATACCTTTAGCGTGAGAGGATCCTCCGAAAGGATTGGCCTTCCACCTTGTTCCCAAATGAGCCTTCTTGTATCCCAGATCGTGCCACCTCTGGTCACGGCGATGCACTCGCAACTTACGGGCTGTTTTCAAGCCACTTGGCTTACCCATGGCTACAAATAAGGTTAGGTTTAAAACACGTGATCATACAACAACTCATTATTTCATACAATTATATCTGATTTATGAATTCAACAAGAACATTAAACTTCATATTATGATAACACAGGGTGAAACAGAAATAATATAATAGTTTATGTAGACAGACATAAAATTGTAACTAGAACGATAATAATTACGGGTGTCCGGTGTTGTCATATTCTCCGTATTCTCATACACACGGTAGTTGTGGTGAGAGACTTATTTACACAACAATTTCGTGTAGGATACAGGTACAACAGATGAGTAACGAATATGTCACTCCGAAAAGTACGTTGAGTCATCAGTAGGTTTAAAAACAGTTGGGCATTATAAAGACCATAAAAATGGGGAGCTGGAGGTGAAAAACCGGACAGATACACCTCGTATAGATATACCATTGTACAGTAAAAGGTTGTGTATTACAGTAATACAGTATCCATGTTAAGTAAATTTGGTTGAACCAGAAATAAACGTCATCAAACAAAAAATTAAGGAAAGATATTTTGCATTAATACTTTAATTTAATCAGAATCAGTACAGAAACAATTTTTATTATGGGCACAAATTACTACATTAAGGTATTCACTCTTATCATTTTTGTTGGTATGGCCCTGTTGAATAATATAAATAATAATAAGAAATAGTCAACCCCTGGCCATTGCCTCATTTGCTGCCATCCACCCAAATTTCGCCCGATTTTTATCTGTGCTCTGCGTAATGCATCACATGAATCAGTTTTTTTTTTTTAATCTATTAACTTATTACACATTTGTGCTCTGCTTTAGCATCACTTGACTATTTAATAAAATTGTTTGTTCAGGCCATGACCTTATAGTCAGCCAATTGGCCATTGCTATATTATGTGTATATTGTTTGAATATTCTTTTCCCAAATTTCGCCCGAAATGTCCGCGATGTACGTTCTTGAAGAATGGATATTTCAAAATAAAACTCCATGTAAGCCGGAAAGTGCAGGCTGAACAAGGCTAGTTTAAGTGGAGCTGAGGCTGGGCCGCCATGGTTATTAGGGGTCAGAGTGAATCAAGCGAGAAATTAGGTTAAATCTACAGCTCACACGGCTCAGAAAATGTGGAAAATGAGAACAAATTTGGCAGAATTATTTACAGTCCAAAATATCAAAAGGCGAAACTATTTACATTTACAGGCCGAATAGTGGTGTGACAGTAGGCTGAATGTGCCCTAAAAATCAAAATGGTAGTTTTCTTAAATCAAAGCAAGACTAATGATAGTAACATAATCACTACTTTTTAGAACATTCTTCCTAATGCCTGAATTATCAGGACAGTGAAGAGCCTATCATGTGAAATTGAGCATGCACAGAAATAAGGTAGAATATCGGATAGAAATTATGTTTTATTAAGTTCATAGTATTGGATAATGGAGCAAGAATTGTGAGACGAGGCCAAACATTGGGGGGGGCCAACCATATTAAAGTATATTAAAATGTAGGATTTTTCCCGATTTTGACCCGGGGATATACTTTAATATACTTTAATAAGTAAGTAAGTAAGTAAGTAAAGATTATGACATAACATCATCACAAGTGTCTACAAAATATCATCGCACTAAATAAAAAAATAATTTAAATAAATATATTTTTCCATCAACATTAATAATTTATCAAATTCAATTTTATTAATTAATAAAATCTAATACATTATCTATAAATAATTCATTAATACTTCCCAGTGGAATAAAGATTTATGAAACGCTTCTTTGCCACAAAAGGATGAAACCAAAGATATTCATTATGTGTCTCCTTATTGCTTAAATATATACTTTAATATACTTTAATATATCCCTATCTCCTTAGAGGCCTACATCAAAAATTGTTGCCCAAAATAAGCTTGAAATGCAATTCGTAATCGATTCCAAAAAGTTCTTGAAAAAATATTTAAAACTGATGGAGTTATTTCAATTTTAATGAAGTCATTTTGGCTAGTATTCCGAACCGAGATATTATGTGCAATTTTCCCAATTTTGTTCATGGAGGTCTTTTTACTTAGTATCCACTATATTCAACAAACACTGAGTTATATCTTTCACATAGAGTTAGTCTCATTAAAAAATATTGAAATTTTATCGAATTTGGGCAAAAGCGAATTTGGGCAAAAGTGTATGCCCAAATATGGGCATATTTTTTAAAGCTCATAGCTCAGCCAATTTTTGACCAATCTGGATGGAAATTCATGTACTAGTCCTAAAACAGGCTTATCTTGCGAATCTGAGTGAAAAATATAGTTCTTCATGTAAATCTTAACGAAGAATATAAATCTTCTAATTGTAGGTATATTAAAGTATATTAAAATGTAGGATTTTTTCCGATTTTGACCCGGGGATATACTTTAATATACTTTAATATGGTTGGCCCCCCCCCCCCCCAACATTAACAACATTTTCATTATTAAATATGAAGAACTGGCTTTGTTCTTCCATAATGTTTGCAGTGTGCAATAGTATCTCCTAGTGGATTACACTTGTTGCACTAAGACTTGTGTATTTCGAGGAGTCTAAATTAATTCAGTTGTAACGAAAAGTAACATTATAACAGCGTTTCTAGATTCCTAAAGTAAAATTTGGCCGTAACTAATTTACTGCTTGCAATTCTCAAGTACAACGACAGCTACTAATCTAAAAGAGTTTCAAAAAACATGGGAAAAACATTTATCTCACACTAGGCTAGATGTAACAATAAAATGACTAGCGCAACCGCATTGCGCTTCGTTATCGTAAGCCTCGCAGCGCATGGTCATAGAAATATGGACAATTTGCAACATAGACTTGACGATAGGAAATCTGGCTGGTAAAAGAAAACTCTAGCGCTAGACATGTAGAAATATTCATTGAAATGCTTTTGTGCTCTGCTTTCGCATCACTTAACTATTTAATAAAATTGTTTGTTCAGGCCATGACCTTATAGTCAGCCAATTGGCCATTGCTATATTATGTGTATATTGTTTGAATATTCTTTTCCCTTGAAATGCTAGGTCTAATCATGAGCATGGACAATGTTTCGGAGGCGTTTTCAGTAATACGTTTTCAAATTTTATTAATATATCCATCCATCTTATTCCTATTGAAGAAGTAAAGTCTGGTAGTGACTATAAAAGCCGGAAAGGAAATTTAGATGGATAAAATTGAACATGCAAGCAAAATAGCGAACTACTGTAGTTATTCTTTCTCCTTCGGTGTATTACAGGGTCCATTTAATGGAGCCGTTGCAATTTCAAGCAATTTCTTTTTTTGTTGTAGCATCGGTCAAGTGTAACGATTGTGATAGAAGTTGATTGTGAGCGATGGCGAACAGCAATCACACTCCTTTGCACCATCAACCTATATCCAATCTATTCAAGGAGTGACAACCATACTACACATTGAATTAGCAGTCCTTACGATGTCAAATCAATTCATTGCAAACTTATTTATTATGTAATAAATGGCATAAAATTGCAATTTATTGATTAACTGAATTATTATTAAATCAATAATTTATGCAAATTATATCCTCTTAGTGGAGACTGTAGTGAAGGGAATAAAACTTCTGTATCAAATTATCAGCAAAGTGAAGTTAAGTAGCAAAGTACAGTAAAGTAAAGCAAGTTAAAATAAAGTAAGGTAAAGTAGAGTAAAATATAGTAGAGTAATGTAAAGTAAATCTGTGCAATTACATGGTAGAATCAATCACCAATTGTGATGTGTGAATGCAGCTAATGAAAGACCGAGGATGTAGAAGTGAAGTGTGAACATGTACCAGAACAATCCATTAATGAATTTCCACGATCGGAGGGAGTTTGGGGTAAATATAATATCAACATGAATAGAAGATTCTAATCGGAAGAAATCGGGAGATTTGTATGATTACAACTTCCTGAGGAGATATACAAAGTCGTATACTAAGATAGTATTAAACAGAACTAACGATGTCGATGAGCCACCAGTAATATCGAGTATAAATAAAAGAAATAATGTTACAGCGCTCGATTACATCATTTCGATGTGGAACGATATAGACGTGCGCGATACGCAGTTGGCGTAATTAGGTAATCAATAATGAAAAAATTTAATCTCAAATTATATGTTTTAACTGAATTTATATTAGTTATTTTTAAAATATTAAAGTGATGGACAAGTTAATTTGATTAACATTGATATATCTTTTATTTTGGAATAAATTGGAATAAATTGGTCATCGTACTTAAACGAAGTAAACAGGAAAATAACCCAAAATACCGTACTCCGCGTCAGCTATTCACCTAACCATGTGCTTTCGCGCCACTGCGGGCGCGCTTGTTTCACAAGTAAAAAACCGCCGAGAAGCGGGCGCGCGCTACTGCAAGTGCAAGGGCTCTGGATATAGCAATACAACGTCAGTTGACGGATGTTACTCGTCTAAATTTCTTCGAAGTAGCGCGCGCCGCTTTCTTCTCGAAATGGCCCGATGGCAAGTGCTACGAAGTAGCGCGCGCCGGGCCAGATCATTAACAATGGTCAAAACGTCAGCTACACCTTGTAGGTTTACAACCTACCAGGACGCGCGCCGAGTTGGACTCGTCGACGGTCCTAATATATGGAACAGATATTTTACGAGTATCACCCGTTAAGCTATACCCAAACACTTTAGCTTTGTGACATTTGATGTCACGGCGTGATACAACAAAAACCTTGCTGATAGGGGCCTAACTTCGAAAATAAAGAAATAGAAACGTCTGGTTTTCAATTAAAAAATGTTCGTTTTGTAAAACTAAACTCTAAAGTTACCTCCCCAGGAGGAAAATTAGGGACATTGTAGATTTTGTAGGTTTACAACCTACCAGGACGCGCGCCGAGTTGGACTTGTCGACGGTCCTGGAAGAAATATTTTAAGAGTATCACCCGTTAATGTAGATTTTGAGTTATCTCAAAATCTTCAGAAAATAGTGTCATTTTGGGCCGATCAACAGTTTGCAGCTTTAACTTTGCGGATTTTGTCGTCTGATTGGCTGAATTTTGACGGATGTTACATGTTTAAATTTCTTCAAAGTAGCGCGCGCCGCTTTCTTCTCGAAATATTACTAGCACTTGCCCGCGCGGCAAGTGCTACGAAGTACTGCGCGCCAAGCTATTCCATGGACAATGGACAAGCTGAAACTTGCTAGCCATGCTTGGACATGCAAATCAAGCTTAATGTCGCTGGTCGCGCGCGAGCTCAAGCCGTATGTTTGAATTAAACCACTTTAGTAAAACCGCCAGCCATCGGTATCACGTCGTGACCCTCATTGTCGTTTCATTATAAGTATAGAGTTTTTGCGATACAGGGGGAGCCGCGCACTCGTGCGCGGCGGGTCATACAACATATGACAACCAGCCAGTTAGTTTTGCTGGGTGAGGGGGCCTGGGCCCTGGCCGTCGGCCTTTCAGAGGGATATCATCTTGCAAACAATAACTTTTCTTTCTAGTTCAGCTAGTCGAGCCCTGCGATGTGCGAGGACACTGCATTTTGCATCCTTCGTTACCGTTACGCCACTGTCACGTATGACATTGACAACTAGCCAGTAAGTTTTGCTGGGTGAGGGGGCTTTCCAGAGGGACATCATCTTGCAGACAATTACTATTCTTTTAGTCGAGCCCTGTGAGGACACCGCATCCTTCGTTACGCCACTCACCACTATCACTTTGTAGGTTTTATACAACCTACCAGGACGCGCGCCGAGTTGGACTTGTCGTATATATATGGAACAGATATTTTACGAGTATCACCCGTTAACTGTCACTTTGTAGCGCGATGCGTTACTGTGCCGCGCCGCGCACTCAATGAGGCTTCTCTCTCTAGATCGGCTTCATTCTCTAAATCGGCGAGATGCGCTACTGTGCCGCGCCGAGCTGAGATGAATTGACATCGTCAATTAACTGTCACTGAACTATGGCCGCGTCACAATTCACAATTATATACAAACAGAGCTGCAATGTGGTTGACGGACATGTTACTCGTCTAAATTTCTTCGAAGTAGCGCGCGCCCCTTTCTTCTCGAAATATTGGCCCGATGGCCAGTGCTACGAAGTAGCGCGCGCCGGGCCAAACCATTAACAATGGTCAACAATGTGGATACCTCAGTCTTAATGATTTGCAGCGGCTATTATTTTAAAATACGAAATCGTCCAGTTTTGAAATTATTATTTTTACTGATCTAATTGTCCTTCTGTCCCGACTCGCGCATTTGAGTCATGTACCTCACTCATAAATATTATGACTGGGATCAGGGATAAAGTGGTGGGTTTTGGAAAATTCCGCCATATTTTTCCTTGACGGATGTTACTCGTCTAAATTTCTTCGAAGTAGCGCGCGCCGCTTTCTTCTCGAAATGGCCCGATGGCAAGTGCTACGAAGTAGCGCGCGCCGGGCCAGATCATTAACAATGGTCAATATTTTTCCCAGTCAAAAATTTTACCAGTCATAATACATAATAACACCTACCCGCCGAGTCAGATTATCAATTATGAGGTTCCAAGGGGGTGGTGATCATTATATTTTACCTGAAGTCTCATATGTGCTAGAGAAGACTTTTGAAGCAGTGGATGGAGGGCTGTAACTTTATTGGCTGTTGCTACCACGATTTCGTCATAAAAATCACAATTTGGTTATAGAAATCAGATTTCAGCGCAGTACCGGTTCCCACAGGTTTGCGGATGAGGCGTCTTCGCGGGATAGCTACTGTTAAAGGGCAGTTATTATCATTTCTTTACTGTTGCAGTTTGAGTCGTCATCGTTACGTTAGCTTACTGTGTACCAATTTTCTGACGTTGAGAATGGCACGCCAGGCTCCCGAGATAAAAGAAGTCCCAATTGAGCTGATGATACTCATATTCTGGAATTTACGGCTGCGACCGCATCTCGAGGATTTCATGTTTACAAAGCTACTTGACTGGACAAAGGCGGAACCTGGAGCTTGTGTAACAGTGGAGCGAGAGACATCAGCTGAGACGCTAAAGATTGATCGCTTCTCGTGTGCAGTGTGTAGACTAATAAAGAAAGAGGAAATTTTTCCCGTTAAAGTAACTTGTGGCCACATCCCGCTAGAAGTAAGTAAACTGTGCCACTATTTCATGGTCCACGGTGGATTGATTACTGGAGCAGTTGCAGATGAAAAGCCAAGACGTTCCCCAATACCAAGCGGTGGGCAGGAAATCAAGCTCCGGCTGACCTTCAGAGCAGTAGCCCCGGACAAAATGAAAGTCTTGTTAAGACAACAATACGACTTCGAATTTGACGGTCAGCAGCAGGGGGATATCAATAATGATAATGGATTAACTAGGAGGGGACATTAGCGATAATGAGAATGAGAATACGCTTTAATGAAGATTTGACTTATTATTGCTTAGATTTATTTTCCTTTAAATATACGTGTTTTTTTCTATTTCTGAGCAATATCAATAACTGTAAATTGAAATAACTTCTTTAACAAGTAACAAATAATAAAAATTTCTGTTGAAAATTTGTTGACCTCTGAAAAAAAACTTTAAAGGTCGGCCACCGGTAAATTCATGACCGGGATAATTTGGCTGGTTTTGGGAAAGTCCGCCATATTTTTCCCGGTCATTTTTTAAACCTGCAAATTTTCCCAGTCATAATTTAACCCGCTATAATATTCTCGAGTAAGGTAATTGAATTTGAATGATCCCGCCTCCTTCAAACAATACATGCCAACCAGTGTCAATAATTGAAAATAACAATTTATCATTTTATAAGCGGCCGTTCTCAGTATATTACACAAAACGGACCCCTCAGGGTGTTAACGTTGCCATATCAACCATGGAAATGTAACGGTAGCCCTACTCTATAATAGTTTACTAAACTCGAATAATACAGCCATCTGATTGGGTATTATAATAGGAGCATCACGTATTCTGGTAATTGTAGTGCCAGAAATAAACACCTGATATTAGCAGTTCCGTTTACCGTACGATAAGCTCGCTATATATCTTGCATTATCTTATATTTATCTGTTTCCGTAGTTGCGATAAGCCACTGCTTGAATACGTTTGGCGACCAATACCATTTCCGGAAAGACCCCCACGTGACATCTCTGTTTTGTCATTGGAGTGTAGGTAGCACATTATCAGTATCGCAGTGGCTTTCAAATTTGTTCGTTGCCCTAATCTCTTGTGCTGCTAATTCTAAATAATTTGCTTTCGTTATCTCAACAATTGACAAACGTATTTATTCTTTAATATACACTCAGTTTGCTTTATAAAGACGGTTAATTTTGGCGAAGGCTTCACCGTCTTTAATTGATCGCAACCAGTCTTTAATTTTGCTGGTAGAAGTAAGGTCAGTGTATGAAATGTGCTTTATTACATGATCTGATCTATTTTTAGACCTGTTGTGGCCGTCTTTAACTTTTCAATCTTGAATTCTTGCAGTTTTTAATTTTCTTTCATTTGAAGGCTCCGTCTTTATCAAGGGCGTCTTTAAAAAATAAACTGAGTGTAGTCCTCACATTTCATTTCCCGTTTATATTTAATTTTCCTGTTTAAATTTCCCGTTGACAACGGGCCGTTGTACAGTTTTCATAATAATTGATTAGAAGTTAGCATGAAGAGGCCAATGAGTCATGAGTGCCGAAACGTCGATTATTTTTAATTAGTTTTCACCAGTTTATTATTTGCCTTATTTTACTTTGTGTGTCGAGAGCCGTTATGCTCCCTACTAAACACTATAATGCATTATAAAATATAAATTACATACTACATAATATTATGCACTTATCCAATTTCAAAATCTGCTTCGGATATCTTACACATCCACTCAGGATATAATTAATACACTAAACACTTAGCATTTAGTATTGAAATAAAATATCGGTACTTATTGGCGTGAACAGAATCATTAATCAATGTAAATACTTATTATTTGACTAAAATATAGATAAAGTAGATAACTGGTGGTATTGACGATAATAAAGTTAAACTAGTAAGAACCAGTACTGTATAATCGCACCAGTTTAAACAACCCAATGCGAAAGGTGTCTGTTGTAACGCATTATCTAATACAACAAAACACTCTGCATTAACAGTACTACCCATGTACTGGATAATCATTCCAACAAATAATTATAAGTTTGGTTAAGATAATGAAGATATACATAACATTACATGACATTTTTACTTTTTTAGCGATGGACACTGACGTGGAGGATTTGGAAATTATCATAGATATTGAGAAAACTGGTAAGTTGGGTAATGTAATCATGTGATAATCAAATTCAAATAACAGTGTCAATTATTTCTTTAAATAATTGAAATTTGTTTGTTTTTTATCAGTTCCATACCACCCGGCACCGTACCCCTCCCTCCCCGGCCCCCGCCTTATATCTCATTTCCGCAGAGAAGAAGCTGTCAGATGGAGAGAAGAAGCTGTCCGATCTGAGAAAATACCACGACAAGCTTGTACACCGGCTAAGAGAGAGGGAGAGCCACCCATTAGCTACGGTTGGAAATTAACTTTATTGTTTAGTTTAAACCTTTCTCAATCCAAATTACTGATCGATGATTTAATAATCCCGAAACAAGAATCATCATCAGTAAAACAACAAATTTTGTACTCCGCATTGTTCATCTAATCCCAATTTATAAGTTTATAGATATAAACAATAATAGCGCTAATACTATGTGTTTCAGACACCTGTGCCCACATATGAAGAGCTGAAGAAGATGCTAACTCCAGCTCCCCCCGATTTAACAGATTTGTCACTATACGACCCCTATCCTCCTACACGATATCTCGAGTACTGCGAGGCTCACCCTCCTCCGCAGGTATCAGACCAGGACGTTAAACAGGACGTTGAGATACAGTTAGAGCAGTGGCGCGCCTCGCTGGAACCTTTTGACAGGGCCATTCTACGCGGCGAGGTTACGCCTGAGGGAGAGATGGAGCGCGGTGAGGTTACGCCAAACAGAGAGAATTGTAAGGAGAATTGCGAGGTTAAACCTCAAATCGCAGACTCTACTAATTCTAAATAATATGCTTTCGTTATCTCAACAGTTGACAAACGTATTTATTCTTTAATATACACTCAGTTTGTTTTATAAAGACGGTTAATTTTGGCGAAGGCTTCACCGTCTTTAATTCATCGCAACCCGTTTTTAAATTTGCTGGTAGGAGTAAGGTCAGTGTGTGAAATGTGCTTTATTACATCTGATCTATTTTTAGACCTGTTGAGGCGTCTTTAATTTTTTAATTTTGAAGTCTTTAAAAAACAAACTGAGTGTAGTCCTCACATTTCATTTCCCGTTTATATTTGATTTTCCTGTTTACATTTCCCGTTGTACAGTTCTCATGATAATTTATTAGAAGTTAGCAAGAAGTTAGCAATTTTTATTTAGTTAGCAAGAAGTTAGCAAGAAGTTAGCAAGAAGTTAGCAATTTTTATTTAGTTAGCAAGAAGTTAGCAAGAAGTTAGCAAGAAGTTAGCAATTTTTATTTAGTTAGCAAGAAGTTAGCAAGAAGTTAGCAATTTCTATTTAGTTAGCAAGAAGTTAGCAAGAAGTTAGCAATTTTTATTTAGTTAGCAAGAAGTTAGCAAGAAGTTAGCAAGAAGTTAGCAATTTTTATTTAGTTAGCAACAAGTTAGCAAGAAGTTAGCAATTTTTATTTAGTTAGCAAGAAGTTAGCAAGAAGTTAGCAATTTTTATTTAGTTAGCAAGAAGTTAGCAAGAAGTTAGCAAGAAGTTAGCAATTTTTATTTAGTTAGCAAGAAGTTAGCAAGAAGTTAGCAAGAAGTTAGCAATTTTTATTTAGTTTTCACCAGTTATTATTTGCCTTATTTCACTTTGTCTGTCGAGAGCCGTGATGCTCCCTACTAAACACTATAATGCATTATAAAATACAAATTACATAATATTATGCACTAGTCCAATTTCAAAATCTGCTCTGGATATCTTACACATCCACTCAGGATATAATTAATACACTAAACACTTAGCATTTAATATTGAAATAAAATATCGGTACTTTTTGGCGTGAACAGAATTATCAATCAATGTAAATACTAAATACTACTAAAAAGCTTTAACGAGTTCATAGATAAAGTAGATAACTGATGGTATTGACGATAATAAAGTTAAACAAGTAAAAACCAGTATTGTATAATCGCACCAGTTTAAACAACCCAATGCGAAAGGTGTCTGTTGTAACGCATTATCGAATACAACAAAACATTCTGCATTAACAGTACTACCCATGTTCTGGATAATCATTCCAACTATTCTAAATATCATAGCAAAACTAATACATCCTTTTGCTAGTGTTGCTGGAATGTAAAATAAATATGCCTGCAAACTGTCTTTCTCCTTCAATAACTTAAAATCTTTAACACCTGACATTACAATCTTTATAACGGGTAACATATAAATTAGAGCAGTAAAAATGTCCTTGCCTACCAGAAACCAAGGAGGGTTATCAATGATAAACTTATCTACATAAAAGTATTCTAATATTAACTCAGGTGCATCTTCTAACAATAATTTAACAGTTAAAGCTGCCAACGTAGATAACACCACCCTGAATCGGTCCCTCCCCTTGTTATTCTCCACAACATTAAAATAACAGAAAGCAACTAACACACTTTTAATAGCACCTAAACATGCAAATCCTAATATACTATTATTAACATGAGTATTTCTGTAAATTAAGGGATCTATTAACTCACCACGCTCTAGTTTATAAAAGTAATACGTGTCAGACAAAACGTCCACCACATCCCAGAATATTTTAAATAGTGGTAAAATAATAAGTTGTGAAATTGAAAGGATATGTGCACAACATAATGGTAAAGTTATACATCCGAAGAAAATATGTCTACGTTTTTTAGATTCTTTAACTCTCTCACAATTCTTTCTTATTTCCTTTTTCAATAAATTATCTTCTATATCCCCAACGGGAATAGTAGCTACTTTACTGTGTTGTTTTGATTCCTTCTTTTTAAGTTTTAACTTTCCTTTAATATCCTCATACTTAGCACTCCGTAAAAGTTTCTTAGTGTACAATAGATTAGTGTTAGACCTGTACGTGTGCTTAATAAGTGTCCAGGGGGTACCTTCATTGTTAATGCCTGTTTTAATACTGATAATAATAAAGAACACAAAAACTACCACAGGGAATAGGACAGGTACTATCATAGCAAATATCGCTCCTGTCTCACTCACACGTGGTTTCCACGTGACTGTTACATTGCAGAGCTTGTTGCCACCTACTGTTACACATGTTCCGTTCTTTGTTGTGTTACCTGCGGGGTAAAACAATACTATTATCACTTATATGTACCTGATGATTATAATTAAAATTATGATCAACTCCCCGGTCCCCCCCCCCCCTCCCAATCGATTATTAAAAATTCTACCAAGTTATGGAATAGTATCTGGACCGACGGCTGGAATAATTTGATTCTTATATCAAACCCACAAAACATTTGATATGTTAAAATAAGATTACATTTTGTTGTAACTAAAATAGCCTAAATTAAAAAATATTGCCAGCAAAATTCAAATAAGACAGCTAGTCTATTTTTGAAAAAGACTTTTTATCGAGAAGTACACATTTTAATAAATATTGAAATTAGAAATGGGAGACTTACTGTAAAATATCAGGTCAGCAGTTTGCTTCACGGGTGTCCGTGTAGCACCAGAATCAGCAGGATCAGTAAGTGTAACTTCACAAGTAAACTGCAAGTTACCCCTTGTATTATCAGAACCTGCCACCTCCAAGGTGGTTGTTTGTGTTCCATCTGTTCCATCTCCACTACTGTACGAAGCTGCTCCCACATCTGGTGTGTAGGTGCTGTTATCGGTCAAGATCGTTTCTCCCAATTTCCACACGACGTTTGTTACCTCTGCAGTCAAACTACTGATATCACATTTTACAGTGAACGTAGCGGCTGTACTATCTACCACTTCTCTACTTCGAGGTGACACAATTATCGCTGAACCTGAAATAACGGGAATTTAGAATAACTAAAACACTCGAATAACATGTGGTTAGTGTAGTTTTTTGTTGAGATGTGACAGCTATATTTACGGGTTTTACTTAACTATTAGCTATTTGATGAATTGTGGTCACATTTTCAACTATTTGTTCTACACCCACCCATAGCCAAGTCTTCTGAACAAAATCCTAAAATAACTTTTGAATTATCAGATGCGTTGGTAGTAACTAGTAGCTGGTATTACCCACTAGTCTAGAACCAAAATGGTACCAGCTCATTACAATGGTAATAAGCCGATAATCAGCCTATGGTAATACTCTGGTGTAGAACGAAATCGAGAAGCTTATTAGTTATGACCACCCTGGTAATAGCCAGGCCGGTAACCCGTTCTATTATCAATTTAGAGTGTGTATAAGTCGTGTCCAGACCTCACTTTTTCTAGAATTCCAGAAAATAAGTGATATTACAATAACGTCACAGTATTTATATAGTAAGGAAGCTATATGTTTCTGCATTTAAGTGCAGCTTAATCTGTAGCTGTTGGCCGCACACATCGAACTTTTAGCTGTTTACCGCAAACATTCACTCTGACAGTCGTTTTCCGCACTTTTAGTTTTCCGCACAAATATGAACTTCTTGCACAATTTTAGATGAAGAATTAATGACCCACCTAATTTTGGGAGATTTTGAGGCTAGTTAGAGATCTAGTCACTGCAATATTGTGGTAACTAGGATTATTAGGGATACAATATTCACCGTGATTGGAGCTGCCTATTAATTATTCGACTGCTTTTGGACGGTTATAGTTGGGTTAGCTAGTTAGAATAAGATTTCGGCCCCCCTATTGTTAATGATATGGTTTAATTATAGCTGTGGTCAGTTTACTACCGCCATCATCAGATAAAAATTTCACGTGTGGCAGTACAATTGTTTCATATTCTAGCTCAAACTTGGCTCTCCTTCAAAGTTTTATCAGTTTTCAAGAAAACAACAATTTCAAGGTTTGGCACCGGTTGTCTCTTAATAAGTCTTTGTGTTTTTGTGTTTTCAGTCAAGACTTTCCCTCATCGCATCATGACCAATATGCATGGAGTACTACAGGGCTACTGGAGGTGGAGTTTGTTGACATACCACCACTATTGTGCACCAAAGAAATATATCCATTATATTGGTTCCGATGTAATGAGGGACAGTCTAAACTTCAAAAGTTTGAGAGCTGGAAGATTAAACAATTGGTTAGGTCGTCAAATTCAGCCCTCGGTGCAAGACCGACGATAATGAAACTTCTAGATAATTAAACAATGTAGTTGAGATTTGAATCTAAAGGATTGAGACATTCAGGGCAAATGAACGAGCGACAGCTATTGTTATGCAGCTGTTACGTACCGACTCAAAAACGGCTGAATCCCCGCCTAGAAAGAAAACTCACAGTTTACTTAGTCATAAATATTTTATGATAAATTACTTCGACTTGGCGATTCAAATTTGTTTACTCCTATCAACTTAATCCTCTCGAGCAATGAAACATTTCTGCGCATCTGTAGTTTTGCTAACACTTTTAGTGTTAATCGTTACTTCGTACGAGTGTCCATTGAAGAACAAGAAGCTCAACAAGAAAATCAAGCAGTACAACAAGAAGTGCCTACAGAAAGGTTTCCAGTCGTCTCTGGGCTGTGAATCCAGCGATGGTGAATTAAAGAAAAAGGCTTCGAGGAAATGCAGTAAACTTGAACAAGTCCTGAAAAGGTGTGGCCACACTTGTCCAACTGATGGAAACTGGAGTGATTTCGGGGATTGGTCAGACTGCTCGGCTGCTTGCGGAGGACGATCCCAGAAGAGAACGAGGAGTTGCTCCGACCCAGCCCCTGCTAACGGTGGATCCAACTGTGTAGGAGATGCTGAGGAAACACAAGAATGCAACGATCAGCCTTGCGAGCCTTACTCGTTAAAGGTATTTTGTGACGATGATACAACAGTTTATATAGATGGAGTTCAGAAGTACACAGACACAAACTGGCAGGCACTAGCGTCACTCAGTGTTCCATCACCCACCCGGGTCATAGCAGTTAAATGTTACAATGGTGGTGGTGAATATGGTATCGTAGCAGGCATGAAGGATGCGGAAGGAAACGATTTCATGGTCTCGAACAATTCCTGGATGTGTGCTGGAGTGGAGGAGATTGGCTGGGAAAAGCCTGACTTTGTTGAAGGAGACAACTGGAAGCAACCCCTAGACCGGGGTAATGGCCATTTCATGATAAGTGCAGGAAGTCCTTGGAACCAGATTAACTCTGCCGACAGAAGATCAATCTGGTCAAGCAGAGGGGAAAAGGATAGAACAGCATACTGCCGGAAGATACTAATCTAAACCCCTCTATAACAGCTGTATACCCCTCTTCAACTGCATCTTGGAGTAAGATGAGGGGTCTTGGACATTGGAATTAAACCTTGAACTGGTCTTGAAATGACCTTGCATGATTCCGAATGATTTTATCTCTTAGTGTGAACTACATCGTAAAATTAGAACTTCGAGTGCACTCAAATTTCTAATTTTCATTCCAATTTATTCGGAGCCGAAAAGGAGGCTGCTACCTTCTTTTTTAACATAACCATGAGTTCGAGGTTGGTTTTGCAAATCAAGGGGAAAGGGACACCTACCGTTTGACATAAGTAAGAAAAGCAACTACAAGAATGTGATTTTTAAATCTAAAAATTGCCTTAATATCTTGTGAAAAGGAAAGAATGCTTGATATTAACCTTCGAAATTTGAATTGCACCGGAATGTTTAATTTTACGACGGGTTCTTAAAACAAAGCAGTGATTTGGATGTTTTTTTTTAGTGGACAATGAAAGATCTTGTTTCGAAAAGCGCACATTATTGTTGTTTGTAAGAAAAAAATAGAAAAATAACCTTTTTTATCTTGTCCGCCTTTTTTCCATCCAGTTGCTGCCCTGAAAAACAGTTAGTACCGCTATATCTACACTTTATCTACACTCCTTTTTACTGTTTTCTTGCATTCATTTATTAATTATTTTACGAAGATTTGTGTTCAACTTGTGCTGTCTTACTTTATGTCAATGACAAAATTAGGCGGAGCTTGTGGAAGCCACGTGGAGAGTGGTCCGACATCACTCACTCATTTCCAGAAAGGGGAGCATTTCATTAGTAACCATTAGTAACCATTAGTAAGTTAGTAACCATTAGTAACCATTAGTAACCACTAGTCACTCATTTCCAGGAAGGGGAGCATTTTATTCTCATTTAACTATATACAAAAATAAGTATAAAGAATAAGGAAAAGGAACGGGAATGAAGCCAATACCAGAAGTGAAACCCCACCAAAGAATAATTGATCCTTAGGTAGACCTGGTGAAATAAAGTAACTGAACTGTAAGTATATGAAAAGACGGAAGGAATAAAGGAGAGAGGAAATAATGTTATGTGAACATCATCAGCAGATGATTTGGCACACCGGTTTCGGGGGTTTAACACCTGTACCGGTTTAATGTGCCAAGACCCCCTAGCGATCACTCGTCAGTGCGATCACCTGTCCACGTTAAATGTGATGTCGCTGACATCAAGTATACTGTATTTGTACAGAATACTAGGTCGGTCTTTCAGAAGCTTTCTGGATTTACTCTTCAGGAGTCTGTCATTATGACATCTCTAAAGAAGTGTCCTATAAAGGGTCCTGGTTTATCATAACTTACCTCACAGAACTGCGGCTTTCCTTCTTCGATATATCTTATGTATTATATCACTTGCACGGTTTAGCTCCACAGTTTCTTAAATCTATCTCTATCTATAATCAACATACATTTTATCTTACTATATATAAAGCGAGACGATATATATCCGTACCATTTTACTGACACCACGGCATCAACTTTAACACGACTTTTCGCAAAAACCGTAAAAGATATAAAACTGAAACTTTTTTACTGGGTCAAATGTATTAATGGCCTTCAAATCAGCATGAAAAAATAAAAAATTGGCCAAGAAATAACAATTTTAGTGCCCAAAATTTGGACCCCCAAGTGGTGTCAAAAACGCGAATTAAATATGTAATAATTTATTTAGTCTCTTGAGTGTTGACACCACTTAAGCATTAAGGGTTAGACGGGTTCCTGCTAGTTATTATAGTCCCTGAGTCCCTCTCCTATAATCTCTCACGTGCCTGTATCACCTGATTAAACACGTGGGGCCACCTCATGTTTTACCTTACTGTACCAACACGTGTCGCGATCCTGCCTCTTGATAACAAATAATTTGAGGACAACATGACACTCAACTTTGAAACTTTGAACATAACACGAGGAAATAACTATGGACAGAACTGAACAAGAACCACATTCGAAGACTAAAACATCTGAATGACTCTGCAACCCAGGAGTCAACTACTCAGTTATCATCGCTCAATAATCGGTTTGGTATCGACGTTACATACTTTATTATTATTTTTTCTTTAAAGCTGACTTAAGAAACCAAGGAATTAAAGTTGCTGTCCTAACATTAAATAGCTGATTTTATTTATATATCACTTTCTTTTTTTTTTCTTTCTTCAAAACATTCCAGTTCATTGTGCAGAAAGATGGAGATAAAGCCGTAGTACGTACATGTTGCATTGCACTGGATCGAGATTGCACTGTGTGGTTTCCTCCAGTCTGCGGCCTGCGCTGCGCGCTTATATAAACGTATTCGGCGCAGATCGACTGGAGGAGATTGCACTGTGTAGGCTCCGGTGTAATGTGATGTATGTAATACGGCTTTACAAATTTTGGAGGCATGTAGGGATATAGATCTGATACCAATCGTATATACTAAAAATACTCTAGCACAATTGTAACTGCAGTTTTACAGAACTCTAAATGCTTAATGAACACTCTTGCAGGTACCACCCGTATTCACACTCAGACCTGAGTTCAGTGGCGTAACGTTGCCTGTTGGCGCCCCCCTGCCGAAAAGGCGCCCCCCTGTTGGCGCCCCCTCCCCTTTTGGTGCCCCTCCCTAAAATTGAACAAATTAGGTGATTTTAGAGGATACGCCGGTAAAATCTCTAAAAAAGTGTGTATCTAGAGTAAAACGCGCATTTTTGCTAGTACTTTAGTTAAGTTTTCGAAATTGTCCCACATTCAAACGAAGATTTGGCGCCCCCCTAAGACGGCGCCCCCCTGCACAGCGGGGTCAGCAGGGCCCTTCGTTACGCCACTGCCTGAGTTTAGTCATTTTCCGATACGAGATTGGGGACGGGTTCTATAAACAAACAAACAAACAAACATATGTTTCTGCAGATTCTAAGTTAATTTTGTTTTAACCTTTTTATCGCCGTCTCAATTCTAAACAGTTCACATAACGGTTCATATCGTCAAACAACTCCGTTCTAAGAATTTTCCCACACATAATCAAATCAAGATATCCTAGCATCTAATCTGTAGTGTGAGGTAAAATAAAACAGAAAACTCAGAGTTGAGAAAACTCAATGTCCGTTCATCAAATCAATGATTCTACCCGAGAAGGGCAGTATAAATCTACCAGTAAACTATTATATATTATTTTCTTGATATAAAAGGCGTAAAAGTGCTTTGACCGTCTATTATAGATGAACCGCTCTTTCAGTTGATCCTAAAGTCAGTAGGTATTACATTATCGAAAATTCATCCATCTTAGAGTTATGTTAATGAGTTACATGATATCCAAGGGATTTGTTTTTATAACTAATTATAGATGTAAAGTTGCAAACAAGCACAGAATTTAGGAATTTCTATTAAATTTATGTTGAGTCTATTATTATAAATAGTAAGAACGGGGTCTTTTATTACTTTTATGAATATTAATACAATATATACTGTTATTAATTATTAAGTAAGTTAGTAATTTTTCTATGGAATTTAAATTAACCTTTCTCACTTACTTGATTCAAAGGAGTAGAGCAGGAGTAACAGTACTCCGCAAAGATCTTTCATATCAACTAGATTCGCTGCGTATCACGAATGTCACATCATATCTGCACATGAAATTGGTTAAAGCTATCTACAACTTCGAAGCTAATCGCCCACCTATATCCATATAACTGTAACCACAGATTCTAACAATATATTGTAGGTTTACAACCTACCAGGACGCGCGCCGAGTTGGACTCGTCGACGATCCAATATATGGAACAGATATTTTACGACTATCACCCGTTAAACAATATAAACATAATATAACAATGACCCTGTAATATAAAATTCAATATAAAAATTCAATAAAAATCTTAGAAAATTTTATAAAAACTCTTTGTAGTAGTAATAAAAATAGCCAATTCAATTTGTTGGCTTTAAATTAATAGAGCCAACAGTTCTCATAATAATTGATTAGAAGTTAGCAAGAGGCCAATGAGTCATGAGTGCCGAAACGTCGATTATTTCTATTTAGTTTTCACCAGTTATTATTTGCCTTATTTTACTTTGTATGTCGGGAGCCGTTTAGCTCCCTACTAAACACTATAATGCATTATGAAATACAAATTACATATTACATAATTTGACCAAAACCCATAATCATGGGTAGAGTGGAGCGCTGCCAGTGTCTCTCTTTCCCAAACAAAAGGCAATGATATCAATTTGAATGACCGTTATCAAATGCAAAATGATACCGAGAATGAAATCGGTCGCTCGATTTTCCCACTCATTCATGGCTTACGAATTGTAATAAGTTTCGATTTATAACATGTAATCTATTTCAATTGTAAATGAATGGGAAAAGCAGAATTTGTTCAAAATCACGAATGAGCAAAATTTGAACCTTTCGCACGTGCAAACCTTAAGCGGAAGTTGCGTGCGCATCCAATATTGAATCACCGTAAATTTTTGCATAATGGTGTTTTATATATAGTTTGATAAGCATGAAAAGTTTCAAAGTATTTCAAGAAGAACTCTTATCACAACGGCACTCCAAAGTTGACGGAAATTGGTGAAAACAGCAATTTTCAGTGATTTTAGCAATTTTCTAACAATTTGGGCGTGGCCCCACGTGAGCAAATTTTCGAATTTCAACTTTAAAACTAACCTATGACACAATTTAGACCTTTAGAAAGCAAAACTGAGCTCCACAACCCAAGGGATGGTGTAACACCAGAGAATACTAGAACGTAAAATGAGCGTTTTTATAAAATTATTCTTTAAAAAAGCACTAACTTCAATAGCGAATATCTTTATGAAGGAGCAAGCTAGAAAAACTTTCCGGTAGATTTTCAGAATGCTTGAACGATTATCTAAGGTGAAAATGTCCTCAGATTTTGAATAAAATTACTTCTTAATAGCGTAAAATCGATTTTAAAAGTGATTACTTTGTCAAAAATCAAGTTTTTAAAATGGTTAACTTGATGACGTCATCAAGTGGTGATGACGACGTTAAATTACTTTTAAATATAATTTAAACTAAAGTCTAAATAATTATCTTCAAGACCTGAGGTCCGAAATGGCTGTATCTTTAAAGCTTTTGAATCTACGGACACCTAAATATAGCCTATAATTGACTGGCAAAGCGTCTATCCCTGAATATATGTACCTTACTCGGGAATATTATAGCGGGTTAATTTATGACTGGGAAAATTAATGACCGGGAAAAATATGGCGGAATTTCCCAAAACCCGCCAAATTATCCCGGTCATGTATTTACCGGTGGCCGACCTTTCAAGTTTTTTTCAGAGGTCAACAAATTTTCAACCGAAATTTCTGTTTTTGTTACTTGTTAAAGAAGTTATTTCAATTTACAGTTATTGATATTAGTATTACTCAGAAATAGAAAAAAAGACACGTCTATTTAAAGGAAAATAAATCTAAGCAATAATAAGTCAAATCTTCATTAAAGCGTATTCTCATTCTCATTATCGCTAATGTCACCTCCATTATCATTATTGATATCCCCCTGCTGCTGACCGTCAAATTCGAAGTTGTATTGTTAATGTTGTCTTAACAAGACTTTCATTTTGTCCGCTAATGGGGGCTACTGCTCTGAAGGTCAGCCGGAGCTTAATTTCCTGCCCACCGCTTGGTATTGAGGAACGTCTTGGCTTTGCATTTTCAACTGCTCCAGTAATCAATCCACCGTGGACCATGAAATAGTGGCACAGTTTACTCACTTCTAGCGGGATGTGGTCCACCCTGAAATCTGATCTCTATAACCAAATTGTGGTTTTTATACCGAAATTATGGTAGCAACCGCCAATAAAGTTACAGCCCTCCATCCACTGCTTCAAAAGTCTTCTTTAGCACATATGAGACTTCAGGTAAAATATGATGATCACCACCCCCTTGGAACTCCATTATCTGAGTCGGCGGGTTTTTTATGACTGGGAAAATTTTTGACCGGGAAAAATATGGCGGAATCTTCCAAAACCCACCACTTTATCCCGGTTATAATATTCCCGAGTAAGGTATATATATATCACGACAATCTGTCGTAAAACAGGGGTTCTAGAAAACCCATTTCCCGATGCTCCTGAAACTTGAAACTTTTTTTGCAGTCGATTTGGTCAACGTCTAGACGCCCTGAAAAATTTCAGATCTCTAACTCAATTTTAACATGGTTTTTAAGGCACCTGAATATGGCGATTTTGGGTTTTTTACCGAATTTCGTATAACAGTGCTGGCGAGTATTTTATGCAAATTTCTTAAAAATCTCAACATAACTATTTTTTATTCCTGTCATCTTTGACATGAAATTAGAATGTTTTGACTTCCGATGAGTCTTAATGCCTGAAAAACTCCTGCCGCCTCCAGCCGGAGTGCACGCTTCGCGTGCACGAAAGAGGCTTCCGACGTGTACCATAGGGGGTGTAAAGGGGTTATAAAAGTAAAGGGGGTATAATAGTTAAGGGGGTACAATAGTAAAGGGGGTACATAGTATACCCCCAATAAAGACACCGCTCGTGCTTGCCAGCACTGTGATATAATGCACTAGTCCAATTTCAAAATCTGCTCTGGATATCTTACACATCCACTCAGGATATAATTAATACATTAAACACTTATCATTTAATATTGAAATAAAATATCGGTACTTATTGGCGTGAACAGAATTATCAATCAATGTAAATGCTAAGTAATTCTTTTAACGGATTCAATGATAACGTAGATAACTCCTGGTATTGACGATAATAAAGTTAAACAAGTAAAAACCAGTATTGTATAATCGCACCAGTTTAAACAACCCAATGCGAAAGGTGTCTGTTGTAACGCATTATCTAATACAACAAAACACTCTGCATTAACAGTACTACCCATGTACTGGATAATCATTCCAACTATTCTAAATATCATAGTAAAACTCATACATCCTCTTGCTAGTGTTGCTGGAATGTAAAATAATTTTACATCCAAACTGTCATATTCTTCCTTAAGTAACTTAAAATCCTTAACACCTGACTTTAATATCTTTATAACCGGTAAAATATAAATTAATGCAGTAACAACGTCCTTTGCTACTAGAAACCAAGGAGGGTTATCAATAATAAATTTGTCTACATAAAAGTATTCTAATATTAACTCAGGTGCATCTTCTAACAATAATTTAAGACATGCAGCTGCCAATGTAAGTAACACCGCACTGTTGTGCCACTCCCTGTCCTTCTTGTTAACATTCACAACACTAATATAACAGAAAGCAACTATCGTACTTTTAATAGCACCTAAACATGCAAATCCTAATATACTATTATTAACGTGAGTATTTCTGTAAATTAAGGGATCTATTAACTCACCACGCTCTAGTTTATGAAAATAATACGTGTCAAAGATAACGTCCACCACATCCCAGAATATAGCAAATATTGGTAAAATAATAAGTTGTGAAATTAAAAGGATATGTGCACAACGTAATGGTAAAGTTATACATCCGAAGAAAATCTGTCTACGTTTTATAAATCCTTTAACATCACCTTTTGTTACTTTCCAATCCTTAATAAATATTTCCTCAAAATTAATACTTATTATTTCCTCTTTCAATAAATCATCTTCTATAACTTTGTAATCTTTTTTGTTTAATTCCTTCTTTTTAAGTTTAAACTCACTTAACTCTCCTTTAATTTTTCCATACTGGGTACTCCCTAAAATTTTCTTAGAGTACAATAGAATAGTGTTTCTTCTGTACGTGTTCTTAATATCTGTCCAGGGGTTGTAACCTACAATAACAAGAAGCAACACAAACATTACCACAGCGAATAGGACAGGTACTATCATAGCAAATATTGATCCTGTCTCACTCACACGTGGTGTCCACGTCACCGTTACATTGCAGAGCTTGTTGCCGGCTACTGTTACACATGTTCCGTTGTTTGTTATGTTACCTGCGGGGTAAATCAATGCTATTATCAGTTTATTATATTAAAGAATGAACTTTATTGTTATCATTTTTTTATTTTTCTATTTTTTTATTTTTTAAAAATTGTGTTCTTATTGATTTGTATTACTTTTTGGAGCGTGCATTTTGCAATGTTCTTCTAATATCTTAGCTCTAAAATTAAAATAATGTGACTCACCGATGGGAGTAACTACAACGCTCTTTTCGTATACTGGGGATCCAGGATAATATCCTGACGTCACTGAGCATTTGTAAGATGTAGCAGAGCTGATCGTCGACAAGATTGCTGTTTTTATAGTTAGTTTTGGTGTCTGTGCTCCATTTGCAAATGCAGCTGTCCCATCATCGACAATATAGTTAGAAGTGTCACCAGTAGAAATATCATTCCCGCCAGGGTCTTTCCACGTGATATCAGCTGCACTTCCCAGTCCGGTTATGTCACATGATATTGTCTGTACTACACCAGTTGTAATCCTTCTATCGTGTGGAGTTATAGCTGAAATTGAAATTTAGTTATTTATGAATTTTAAATCACTGTTTTTTTCATTATATCATGACAGTTTAATATGTGATATTATGAAGGTGGTAAAATGTGTCAATCTCTATTGTAGCACTGAAACAATGGTGTAGAATGGTCGAATCTAGAGTTGAAGGAGAACTGTTTCAGTAACGAATCAGTAGTTCTGCCTAGAAATCGGTTTTTATCGAGAAATGCACATTTTAATGCATCAAATAAAATTAGAAATGGGAGACTTACTGTAAAATATCAGGTCAGCAGTTGGCTTCACGGGTGTAGCACCAGAATCCACAGGATCAGTAACTTCACAAGTAAACTGCAAGTTACCCCTTGTATTATCAGAACCTGCCACCTCCAAGGTGGTTGTTTGTGTTCCATCTGTTCCATCTCCACTACTGTACGAAGCTGCTCCCACATCTGGTGTGTAGGTGCTGTTATCGGTCAAGATCGTTTCTCCCAATTTCCACACGACGTTTGTTACTTGTGCAGTCAAACTACTGACATCACATTTTACAGTGAACGTAGCGGCTGCACTATCTACCACTTCTTTACTGTGAGATGACACATTTATTGGTGAACCTGAAATAACGGGAATTTAGAATAACTAAAACACTCGAATAACATGTGGTTAGTGTAGTTTTTTGTTGAGATGTGACAACTATTTACGGGTTTTACATTACTATTAGCTAATTGATGAATTGTGGTCACATTTTTAACTATTTGTTCTACACCCACCCATAGCCAAGTCTTCTGAACAAAATCCTAAAAATGTCTTTCGAATTATCAGATGCGTTGGTAGTAACTAGTAGCTGGTATTACCCACTAGTCTAGAACCAAAATGGTACCAGCTCATTACAATGGTAATAAGCCGATAATCACGGGGTCTTTCATTACTTTTATAAATATTAATACAATATATCACAATGCTGGCAAGCATTACCGTCGCCCTTATATTCACAACACTATTTACCCCCTATACGATTATATCCCCTTTATTGTTTTCCAGGCATTAAGACTCATCGAAAGTAGTTCAGCAGGTACATTTAAGTTCAAAACATTCTAATTCAATGTTGAAGATGACAGGAATAAGAAATAGTTGTATGGAGGTTTTTAAGAAATTTGCGCAAAATACGCGCCAGCATGTTATACGAAATTAGGTAAAAAACCCAAAATCGCCATATTCAGGTGCCTTAAAAACCATGTTAAAATTGAGTTAGCGATCTGAAACTTTGCAGGGCGTCTAGACCTTGTCCAAATCGACTGTTAAAAAAATTTCATGTTTCAGGAGTATCGGGAAGTGGGTTTTCTGGAACCCCTGTTTTACAACAGATTGTCGTGAAGATATATATATATGTATAGACGCTTTTTGCAGTCAATTGTAGCCTACATTTAAGTGTCCGTAGATTCAAAAGTATAAACGATACAGTCATCTCGAACCACAGGTTTTAAAGATAATTGTTTAAGCTTTAGTTTACATTGTATTGAAAAATAATTTAACGTCATCATCATCACTTGATGACGTCATCAAGTTAAGTGTTTTTAAAACTTGACTTTTGACAAAGTAACAACTTTTTAAATCGATTTTACACTATTAAGGAGTAATTTTATTCAAAATCTGAGGACATTTTCATCTTAGATAATTGTTCAAGCATTCCGAAAATCTACCGGAATAGTTTCCTACCTTGCTCCTTCATAAAGATATTTGCTATTGAAGTTAGTGCTTTTTTGAAGAATAATTTTATAAAAACACAAAAGTTGTGAATTAGTATTCTCTGGTGTTGGGCCATCCCTTGGGTTGTGGAGCTCAATTTTGCTTTTTAAAGGTGTAAATTGTGTTATAGGCTAGTTTTAAAGTTAAAAATCGAAAAGTTGCACACGTGGGAACACGCCCAAATTCATTTAAAATAGCTAAAATCGCTAAAAATTTTGATTTTCACGATTTTTATCAACTTTGGAGTCCCGTTGTGATCCAAGCTCTTTTTGAAATCTTCTGAAACTTTGCATGCTTATCAAACTATATATTAAATACCACTATGCAAAAATTTACGGTGATTCAATATTGTATGCGCACGCGACGTCCGCTCAAAGTTTGCACGTGCGAAAGGTGAGAAATTTGCTCATTCGTGATTTCGAATATATTCTGCTTTCCACGATATTTAAATGGCATTATATATGAATTTAATGCCAACTTGAATGAGTAAAAAAGTGCCATATTCAGTCGGTTATCGACAGAAATACCTAACTAAACACAAGGAAACGTTTTCAAAGGCAGAATTTCGAAATCGTCGAAATTACCTCCTTGTTAATGAAGTTTCGACTAGCTGTGTAAATTATCCTGACATTATAATCAAAAAGAGATGATATTTGACCAAAACCCATAATCATGGGTAGAGTGTACCGCTGCCAGTGTCTCTCTTTTCCAAACAAAAGGAAATGATATTAATTTGAGGAACAGTCCGCTAATGCAAATTGATACCGAGAATGAAATCGGTCGCTCGCTTTTTCCATTCGATCACGGCTTACGAATTGTAATAAAGCTTATTGATTTGAAAAAGCGAGCGACCGATTTCATTCTCGGTATCAATTTGCATTAGCGGACTGTTCCTCAAATTAATATCATTTCCTTTTGTTTGGAAAAGAGAGACACTGGCAGCGGTACACTCTACCCATGATTATGGGTTTTGGTCAAATACCGTTATTACTTATTATATAAGTTAGTAATTTTTCTATGGAATTTAAATTAACCTTTCTCACTTACTTGATTCAAAGGAGTAGAGCAGGAGTAACAGTACTCCGCAAAGATCTTTCATATCAACTAGATTCGCTGCGTATCACGAATGTCACATCATATCTGCACACGAAATTGGTTAAAGCTATCTACAATTTCGAAGCTAATCGCCCACTTATATCCATATAACTGTAACCACAGATTCTAACAATATACACATAATATAACAATGACCCTGTAATATAAAATTCAATATAAAAATTCATTAAAAATCTTAGAAAATTTCATAAAAACCCTTTGTAGTAGTAATAAAAATAGCCAATTCAATTTGTTGGCTCTAAATTAATATCTATATCTGATACCTTAGCTATACTACCACTTTTTTATCCTTCTTTCTCCTCTAAAAGCAATAGGTTTGGTTTGGAGACCGGGTTTTGGTACATCGGCCAATGTTTACAAAATCATATGATACATAACAATATAATTTTATTTAATATACGTGAACACGAAAATTTAAAATTATGATGTAACCTTTTACGTTTGTTCATCAAAAAAAACTAATATAAAAAAACCAAAACTTTAGAAATTAAAACTTGCAGATCATGATTTATTAACATAGTGACAAATAATTTGGTTTGATACGACAGATGATCACACGCACTGTTTTATAAGCTTCTCTCTCTCTCTCTCTCTCTCTCTCTCTCTCTCTCTCTCTCTCTCTCTCTCTCTCTCTCTCTCTCTCTCTCTCTCTCTCTCTCTCTCTCTCTCTCTCTCTCTCTCTCTCTCTCTCTCTCTCTCTCTCTCTCTCTCTCTCTCTCTCTCTCTCTCTCTCTCTCTCTCTCTCTCTCTCTCTCTCTCTCTCTCTCTCTCTCTCTCTCTCTCTCTCTCTCTCTCTCTCTCTCTCTCTCTCTCTCTCTCTCTCTCTCTCTCTCTCTCTCTCTCTCTCTCTCTCTCTCTCTCTCTCTCTCTCTCTCTCTCTCTCTCTCTCTCTCTCTCTCTCTCTCTCTCTCTCTCTCTCTCTCTCTCTCTCTCTCTCTCTCTCTCTCTCTCTCTCTCTCTCTCTCTCTCTCTCTCTCTCTCTCTCTCTCTCTCTCTCAAACAAAAGGAAATGATGATCACACGCACTGTTTTATAAGCTTCTCTCTCTCTCTCTCTCTCTCTCTCTCTCTCTCTCTCTCTCTCTCTCTCTCTCTCTCTCTCTCTCTCTCTCTCTCTCTCTCTCTCTCTCTCTCTCTCTCTCTCTCTCTCTCTCTCTCTCTCTCTATATCTCTCTCTCTCTCTCTCTCTCTCTCTCTCTCTCTCTCTCGCTCTCTCTCTCGCTCTCTCTCTCTCTCTCTCTCTCTCTCTCAAACAAAAGGAAATGATATTCATTTGATTGACCGTTCTCAAATGCAAAATGATACCGAAAACATGGTACAGCTACAATAATTGTTTAATGTAACTATAGTGTTTAATGTAACTATAGTATCGTAGATCGGACTACGGAAAAGAAAAACAGAAAATAACGGAGTGACAATGAGAGTAGAAGGTCACCTACACACAACTACAAGTCATGTGCATTATAGGAACGAGAATATATAAATTCAATGTGGCACGTGGGCATATATCTTTGACACGTTTTAGTATTGCGTCGCTGTGAATGGGACGAAAAGCAGCACGTGGGAATCATCCATGTGTCACGTGCAGGAAGAGCAGGAGGAGCAGGAGGAGCAAGAGGAGCAGGAGGAGCAGGAGGAGCAGGAGGAGCAGGAGGAGGAGTAGCATTGTCGGGGGTCAATTTTTATAACCTCCGGCCAATTTCTTGACTGCGCTAATCAGCTCGGTTTCATTGACTTTAAGTTTTGGTGCCAACTAGGCAAAATTCCAAATAACTTATAACATTTGTGATCGCAGGTTTTAAACTAGATACTGCAGCTTTCTTTCTAGAAAACCTGGCGATTTAACTTTAACACTGCCATAATCTATTTTGCATGGATTAATAATTTTGTAACAAATCCTGCCAAGTTAATGTAGGAAATTTAATGGTAAACCTGCCGATTTAACTTTATCACTGCCGTAATCTATCCGGCAAGGATCAATCATTTTATAACAAATCTTGCCAAGTTAATAAGTTAATAGCAAATCCTGCCAAATAACAAATAGTAAAACCTGCGCTGCTGATGCAGGATCACTAAAACCTGCGGATTTAGTGTAATATACTGCAGATCTGCAATGGGTAAATTAGATTACTAGGCAGGAGTGATAATATCGCAGACTTCGCAATTAAGTTGGCAGGATTTAGGTTAAATTCGCAGTGGCAATGGTTGGAAGGGGCCTCTGATATGATGTTATACCACTAAGACAGTTTTCCCCATATAATATAGGAGACCCTGTTAAAAGGGTAGTCATAGATGCGATCGTCAGATAGGCTGACTACCTACTATAAGAGCAATCAACAGCTTAAATTAATGCAGAAGCGAGGACACGGGAAATAGACCAACTTAGCACACCGTTCAACAATACCCCCCTTTATACCCCTCCCCCCATGATCAGCCCACGTCAGCTCAGGAGATTTCTCACATTTTTGTAAAGTATTTCGTTGCTTAATTGGTTCATAATATCATTTTGCACGAGTCTAAATCGAATAAATTCGATCATACATACCTCGTGAATCTACAAATTCTGACTTATTTGATTTAGTCCCATCGAGAATGCGAAAGTAGCAACTTTTGATTCTAAAGTTCCAGACACTTAGTCAAGATTGCTGGGGCGTTAACCAACTCGGAAGGAATTAGACAGGATCACACAGCTGAATAACTTCTGAATAGCTGCGACGGTTAACACGCAGAGAAGATGAAATTAACAACGTCTCTTTCCCAAACAAAAGGAAATGATATTATAATTAATTTGCTTGACCGTCTGCAAATGCAAAATGATACCGAGAATGAAATCGGTCGCTCGCTTTTCAGTTTTCCGAACGATCCTATGACTTATGACTATGACTATTTTTAGGTGTATTATATCAGACCGGGAACATCGTAACAAAAAACAAAAACGAAGCATACGCACGGAAAGGTATTTTGGTTAAAGAACCGAAGGGTGCTATCAGTTCAAGAATTGTTTCTGGCTCAAGGAAAAAGTTATCAGAATAATATTGGATGACTTTAATGTTATGCAGTTACATGGAGGTTTGGTTTATTTTAAGAAGAGATAAGTAGACAGCATTGCTGACACAGCAACGTCCGGTACCCGGGTTGAACTGCAAAGATGTTAAATACGTAGTGTATCTTATAAACGTACGGCATACGAATACGTATGAATAGTTGCGACGGTTAAAACGCATTTTTCATAGCATTTCTTACTAACAAACTATCGCATTATTTGTATTTTTCAAGAAGATTGCAAGCTTCTTTCAGTTCCTGTATGATTACTATTTTGTGGACCATTTATATTCCGTAAGCATTGTTATACATTTCCATCTCTATTAGTAGCATTTATCCTATTAGTAGCAGTGTAATTTATACCTCATTAATCACAAACTTGACATTCCGTGTTTACCCTTTATACAGGCGAGCGCCGAGCCGTACTATATAAATAGCAGTCCACTGTTGTGCTGCTAGAACTGATCAGATTATAGTGTAGATGATAGATATAAATCTATAAATAATTTCTTGATAAACTCCATGAGGCATTACACATTACATACCTCGTGAACCTCAGACTTATTTGATTTAGTCCCATCGAGAATGCAAAAGTAGTAACTTTCGATTCTAAAGTTCCAGACACTTAGTCAAGATTTCTGGGGCGTTGACCAAATCGGAAGGAATTTGACAGGAGCACAAAGCTGAATAACGTATGAATAGCTGCGACGGTTAACACGCACATTTGAAAGCACTTTTGAAAGCATTTCTTAAACTTGAGCAAAACCCATAATTATGGGTAGAGTGGACCGCTGCCAGTGTCTCTCTTTCTCAATTATTAAAGTAATTGAGACACCACTCAACATGGGCTACATCACCGGGGGGGGGGGGGGGGGGGGGGGTTACCACGAACGATGGATGAATTCCGTTCAGGGGGTTGAAGAGAGAGGGAGGGAGGGAGGGAGAGTGGGAGCACAGCATGGTTGCGTGTTAAGTTGAAGGAATACAACTATTCAGAAAATGATACTGTAGCTATTAATTTTGTTGATTCAATTATCTAGAGTCTTTTGTTTTAGTTGTCAAAATCTAGGCCCATCTCCGCATAGAGACATATCTCCCAGGCTTTGACCTTGCTCGGAAGTCCCTTGTCTGCCCGCAGAAGTACTACAACGGAAGTGGGTTTGCTCTGAGACAGGTAGTGACAGCTTCAAGACTCCAGAGGTCTGTTGCATTGATATTTATTATTCTATGATTTCGTATATACTTTGGGAGTCCTGGAATGCAGCTAGCAGGAGTTGCATTCTGTGGGCACGGCGAGAAGGCCTCCCTCCTTAAGTAAGAGGCCAGAAACCGTTGACCAGAACAGAGAGAGAGAGATCAGAGAGTTGTCAAAATAAGAATGCGAATTTTCAAATAATAGTATCATACACTATAGATTATCAATTACACAAAAAATCTAATAGATATCGTTAACATTAAGATATTAATCATTAGGTGCTAGTGACTAGCACCGTGCTATTATTACTATACCCAACCAACAACAACAAAGTAACTGTTACCAACTTTCAAGAACTAAAGGGTAATCCGACTCTACTTTAGTCAGTTAATTGATGATGGTAATGGTATGAAACCAAATTAAGGTACTGGAAGTCAAAATGCCGAAGAAAATTAAAAAATCATAAATTGTCCATTCATTCTCTGTCCCATTTTCAGTTTTTGAAGATGAAATTTCCAGGACCGAACTTTTACAGTTTTAATGGAAGGACTTGCGAGACCTTTTTGTCTTGCATGTCCTAGGAACGATACTATTGTAATCTTTATCTTCTGCCAGTAGTGCTTGGCATCGTGCGTCTCGATCTGAAACACGTTTAAGATGTATAATATAAATATACGTTAAAATTCTTGGTATCGAACATCAAAAATTCAATATCAGGACAAAGGATGAATAAAATAATATGGGAAATATCAAAAAAGCAGATACGATACACCTTACATAATACATAATGAGATAGGATGCTGTAACAGTGAATGTCCTAGTGTTAAGATTGACTCACCCCTATCATTCCTGTTGCCACATTCATGTCGCTCTCTCTTGCTCTCCATCTCGCTGCCCTCCCCTCTTGTCCGGTAATAAGTTACCAGGCACCAGTTCTGCCCGTTCTGACACTGGTGGGTCTTGCACTGGTTTCCTAGACGAGACAGGCTATTATAACATCCAAGTAACAAATATATAGGCTTATTCCAGTAAACTGAATGCTTATTTCAAATAAATAAAATAAGAAGCAAATGTATTGAGCAGGATGGAACCGTTAGCTAAGCTATTACGGCTAGGAAATATTAACCGTAGAAGGTAAATAGAAGGAAATATTAACCGTAGAAGGTAAATAGAAGGAAATATTAACCGTAGAAGGTAAATTTAAGGAAATATTAACCGTAGAAGGTGTGATTTACTAATTAGGTAACTGAGTTACTGTGAGTTATTATCTAACCTTGTACCGCTTCTTTATCAACCTCGTCCCACATGCTCGTGATTCTATTATCCATGGACTTGGCAATAGTGCACTCCCAACAGTACTGCACAACATCATCTGAATCATCTGAAAGTCGAATTTAAGTGATTAGATGACGGCAATGATAGGGAGACGGTGCGCATATTCTGTTCCATTTACAGTTTTTGAAGATGAAATTTCCTTGATTCACGATGTCAATCCCTCGCAGCTCGGTGAGGCACAGTGGTGCATTTCGCCGATCTACCGAAGTGGTTGCGAGAAGCATTATTGGATGCGCGCGCGCGACCCAGTAGTGCATCGCGCTACAAAAATTTCCAGGACCGAAATGTTACAGTTTTAATGGACGGAGTTACCTTTTTTAAACCTCTTTGTCTTGCATGTCCTAGGAACTATACTATTGTGATCTTTATCTTCTGCCAGTAATCCTTGGCATGCTGTGTCTCGGTCTGAAACACGTTCAAGATGTATAATAAACAAGGAAAATATGATGCTCCATCCTCATCAATTGTCATTAGCAATAACTTCACGTTTTTAGTGTTAAGATTGACTCACCCCTATCATTCCTGCTGCCACATTGATGTCGCTCCTTCTTGCTCTCCATCTCGCTGCCCTCCCCTCTTATCCGGTAATAAGTTACCAGGCACCAGTCCTGCCCGTTCTGACACTGGTGGGCCTTGCACTGGTTTCCTAGACGAGACAGGCTATTATAACATCCAAGACCCAAGTAACAAATATATAGGCTTATTTCCAGTAAACTGAATACTTATTTCAAATAAATAAAATAAGAAGCAAATCTATTGAACAGGATGGAACCGTTAGCTAAGCTATTACTGCTAGGAAATATTAACCGTAGAAAGTGACTGAATAACTAACTAACCATAAACTTGTTCTTTATCTACCTCGTCCCACATGCTGATGACTCTATTATCCATGGACTTGGAAATAGTGCACTCCCAACAGTACACACCTGTCCTGTTGTTGTTGTCCTGCGTGTTTGACACTCCTGTGGGGGAAAGTTTGTTGGAGTAGTGTGCACGCGCACGCGCGGTGTGCACGTGCTTCTTTTACTGACGGTGGAATAATAACTACAAGGTACTGGGAGAACTATTATTGTTTACTGCTGCATCACGTATAATAATAGTATCTGATGAATGTTTGGTTTAAGATGAATGATTAAAAAGACAATGTACTTACCAATAAGGAGACATGATGCTATCAGTGCTAAAAAGATACCACACACCATAATCCTGGGGAAATGAAATTGGCGAGGGGTCGTTCACATATTACGTAATCATTTTTTGAAACATTTTTACCCCCCCCCCCCTCCGTAATCAGTTTTACACATAGCTATTGTGTCAAAATTACACTAGCGTAATCATTTGGAAACCCCCCCACCCCTCAGCTAATTACGTAATATGTGAACGACCCCTGATCAGTAATTTTCATATTAATTGATAATGGGAATATGCTGGATATGCTGGAATCATCAACAGTTGTTTCGAGACACATACTTTCCCCATTTCCATTGGAGAGGCTACTATAACACCCTTACAGAGGCCTAAAAACCCATCGGTCCTCTGAAGAATTTACGTCCACTCACCTTGTCCAATGCAGCCAGAAAAATTCTGTCTATAACTACTCTTAAAAGGATAGAAGAAAAAGTGAACGCCTTTACTGGTCCATGGCAGTGTGCATATAAACGCGCTCGTTCTTGTGCTGATATTGATTGGTGTCAGCGAGTTCTACTGTCAGTTGTCCAAAGGAAGAAATGGGAGTATCATCGCATGGGCATTGATATGTCTAGTGCATTTGACACGATCAAACGCACTACGATGAGCTGAGGATTGTCCGGTTGTTGTTGTCCAACACAAAGCTACGGGTGAAGGTAAATGGAGTTCTTTCAGCTGAGTTTTTAAGTCTCCTTGAAACTTTCCAGGGTGACTGTTTATCCGGCTGTCTGTTCACCCTTGTCTTAGCTGGTGCTTTGAATGAACTTAGATGGACTGTAACAATCAGTTTAGATAGGCCGATTCTCCCGATTACTATTGCTGGCCTTCCACTTGACACTGAATATGCTGATGATGTCGACTTCAATGATGAAGAGGAAGACAAATTGAGAGCTATTTTGCCCCAGGCAACAGCTATACTCGAGAAATGGAACCTCTTTGTCAATGAAGACAAAACGGACTTCACTCATGTTTATTTAGCTAGTACGGGTGAAGTCGACAGTGATGGAAAAGTATTGTCGGGGAATGAAGCATGGAGGAAAAGTGTCACTCTAGGGTCCGTCTTGTGTAGCAAAGCTGATATTCAGCGTCGCATAAACTTGGGATATGCTGCCTTTAACAATTACAAGAAGGCCTGGAGTGATAAACTGCCTCTAAACAAATGTTTAATACTGTACAATGCTTTAGTCGTATCGGTTCTTATGTACAACTCATCCTGTTGGGCCGTCCCCAAAATATTCCTTGAAAAACTAGATGTTGTTCACCGCAGACATCTTCGCACTATTTTGAATATAAAGTACCCAGGAGTCATCTCCAACAAAAACTCGTATACCTTACTCGGGATTATTACGACGGGTTTATTAACGACCGGTTAAAATATGGTTCGGGAAAAATATGGCGAAATTGCTCAAAACCCACCACATTTTCCCGGTCGCCATTTTACCGGTGTCCAACCTTTCAATTTTTGATTCAAAAATTTTGTCTCAGATGTAAATTTCCTTATTAGAGATAAGCAGGTTCAGAAATTTTCGCATTGCTAAAACTTGTGAAACAAGTCGAATTATCAATAATTGTTGAAAGTAGACTCTAGCAAATTCGTTGTTTTGAATTAGCATTACATGTTTACGTGTATCAAATAACCATTATGACTCAATTTGTAGAAAATCTTCGAAAGAATGCATCGTTCACATTGTTTAGAATTATGAATAAATGACTGATGAAACTGATTCATGTTATTGACCGTTTTAATTAATTCGAGTTTTAATTTAACTGTTACTTTTACTTTGAGTCCTATTTCATTATGTAGAGATAGTCAATACCTAAGAAATTAAAAATTGGCCTATTTAAATCAACTTTGACAATAAGGATATATGACAAGAATTGGGCAAAAAGGTGAATTTTTTGCAATTTTAGCCAAATGAAGTCGAAAAACCTACAACAAGTGTCCCAATAGTTTTCTTTAATGAATATAAGACAACCATTAAAATATGTGCACCCATACCCCTTGGGAACCCTAAAAGCTGAGTCGGCGGGTTTATTAACGACCGGTGAAAATGTGGTTCGGGAAAAATATGGCGAAATTACCCTAAACCCGCCACTTTATCCCGGTCATAATAATCCCGAGTAAGGTAAACGCTGCAATGCTGAACCATTGTCAGAAAAAAGTGGCCCGTAGTCGGTGGAGAATGTTAAGACATGTTTTGCGGGGTCCTGTTGACGGACCAGCGTTTTCTTCCCTCATTTTTGCCATCAATACACTGGACTTACCAGGGAGAAGAGGAAGACCCCAAAGCGATCCATTCTCGCTGATTGTGCATGATTTATGCAAATATATATAAACAAAAGCTCTAAGAAACAGATAGTAAACAAAGTAAACATTTCTGTCCCCTAATCTTTCTCAAACAAAAGTCATGCAATTTGCATAATTCTCCATTTAACTCTATTCTGAGCGATTAAAGTTAAATTGTTTAAATCACATAAATTATTTAACGATAATTTTCGAACACTAAGGTCGTGTAGAATCAGTGAGAAAAGGTTTGACTGCGGTCTTCCACGCCGCCCTTGAAGCTGTAAGGTGTTAACAGCAAAAACAAGCGACGAATAGGCTGGACCATCTGTAGGCCCACGCAGTACACGTCCGAGCATCCTCCACCGACTACGAGCCACTTTAGCTGACAATGGTTCACTATTGCAGCGTTTATACAAGTTCTTGTTGGAAATGATGTGAGGGTATTTGTAATTCAAAATTGATCTCAGATGACGTCTGTGAGCAATATCTAGTTTTTCCAATACTGATTTAGGGGCAGCCCAGCAAGATGAATTGTACATTAAAACGGATACTACCAGAGCCTCATACAACAGGAGCCTCTTGCTCAGAGGGATCTTATGGTTCCAAGCTTTCTTGTATTTGTTAAACGCGGCATATCCCAGACATATCCTTCTAGAGATGTCCTCCTTACTACAAAGCATGGAGCCAAGCGTGATACTCTTTCTCCAGAGCTCGTTCCCTGCAATTGGCTTACCCTGATCGTCTTTAGCTCCCTTTTCAGCTAAGTACACATGAGTGAAATCAGTTTTGTCTTCGTTAACGAAGAGATTCCAATCTTTAAGGACTTCTGTTGCAATAGGCAACAGCTCCCTCAAATTGTCCTCATCTTCATCATTGAAGTCGATATCATCAGCATACTCACTGTCAAGTGGAAGACCGATATCGGTGATAGGTGGGTTAGGCCTATTCATTGCAGTTTCAAGCCTGTTACGGAGGTCACGCAAGGCACCCGCTAAGACAAGTGTGAACAAACATCCAGACAGACAGTCACCTTGGAATGCACCGAGAAAACTCTGGAATTCAGCAGACAGTGTACCGTTGATATTGACTTTGAGCTTGGTGTTGGAAAGCAAAAGTCTTACCAAACGGACTTCGTCATCATCACAGCCACACTCAACAAGAAGATCGAGGATGGTAGATCGTCGTATAGTGTCAAAGGCACTAGACATATCGATCCCCATACGATGGTATTCCCACCTCTTCCTCTGGACAACTGATAACATCACACGCTGGCACCATACAATGTCAGCACATGATCTACCCTGCTTGTAAGCACATTGCCATGGACCAGTGAAGGCATTGACTTTATTCTCAATTCTCTTCAAGGTTGCCATTGAAAGAATCTTTCTAACAGCATTTGAGAGAGTGAGGGGTCGTAGATTCTTCACTGGACCAATGGGCTTATTTGGCTTCTGTAAGGGGGTAATGTTTGCCTGTCCAATGGGGTCGAGATAGGAATTGGTCTCGAAGCTTCTATTGATAATGTCTGCAAAACGTCTGTGTACTGATCCAGTAGAATACTTGAGAAGCTCGTTAGGAATTCCATCTGGGCCGTTAGCTCGACCATTTTTGAGACTTCTGGCAGCTGATCCGATTTCTTCACTAGTGAATGGCTTAACTAGTGGGCGAGGAGGTCCTACAAAAGGTTCTAAAGGTGCTTCATCACGAGTAAGTTGTTGCTCAAGGTACTTAGCAACTACGGCAGCTTTACCAGTGTCTGTTGCAATATTGCACCCTTTCTCATCATGAACACCAATACAAGAAGGGGCTTTAGGTAAGTTCAGGGTTCGAACAGCTTCAAACATTTTCTTACTATCTGTTGTTGAACTGATGGTATTACAGATAGCATCAGCAGCAGCTGATCGTATGTTAGAAAGTCTCTGCTTGATCTGATTGGTGAGGCAGTTAATAGATGATCTAAGTGAGGTTCTGTCTAAAGACTGGTTATCATTAAGCTGCTGTCTCAACAAGTAACGCTGGCTAGATAAGTTTTTCACCTCATCATCGTCGCTGCGATTACGTTTCCTGTGTCTGATGACACCAATTGACGATTTTGCAGCATCCTTTATGGACTCAAGTAAGCCATTCAAGTCTGAATTTGGATCCAGAGCAGAAACAGTGTTACTTAAGTTATCATCTAAGGATTGACGATATTTCACCTGAATGGTGGGGTTCGAGGTGAGTTCAGAGGTGTTGAACTTTAAGGATGTCTTGGAGTGGCGTTTATAGCAAAGACAGATGTCCTTAAAGTCTACTCTAGTGACAACAAATCTGTGATCAGAGTATGTCAAAGTGCCTGCATAAGATCTAGAATCTTGAAGCATTGGCTTCGACCTACTCCGACACAGGATGAAATCGATCTGAGAATAGACCGGGATCGTCTTTTTACTATTTCGCCCGGCACTCCAGTCCTTCCTCCAGCCAGTGTAGGTGGTCGTATGTCGAGCAGGATGATAAAAACCAGTGTTGGAGGCAAAGAGGTCAAATTCTGATAACAAGTCTAACAAGTTTTCCCCCATATCGTTGCGCAAACCCATACCATGTTTACCCATGAAACGACCAAAACCAAAGTCCTTATCTGAAGTAGTCATTTTTCCCAACTTTGAATTGAAATCCCCCAAAACAAATATCTCAACATTTGCAGGGACATTTAGAGCGTCCCTAACTTGGCCGTAGAAATTGATCAAC